CATGTGGACATGGCATAGGAAAGTATGCGGCGTGTGTAGCGCCTTGTGTGCAGAAACGGGGCTTGAACCGAATCATCAGTTGGAGATAGGTAGTGCGAATATGGGTGTGTTTTTTTTCAGGGGACCCCAAAATGGCTTCGGTTTTCCTTGTGGTGTCCCGTTTCAAACACCGAAAAGGCGGGGGGTACCCCAAAAAAGGACACCCCCCCAGATGCAGTAACAAAGCTGGAGGTTCGAGCACAAGGGTTGATCTGCGGTGTTCTGCCATGATGCCATCCCGAAATGGGAGCAAGCTCAACAGCTCGGTGAAAAAGCCGGGACTCCGACAAGCAGGTGAAGGATCCGACAAGCAAAGCATACAACTGCACCTTCCGGACGCACACCCTCATTGAGGCTTTACATAGAAAACTCAAAAAAGGGCCACCGCTTCAGCAGCTTCGCACACTTGTTTTATGGATTGGTAGCCAGGCTGAAGGACATCCAAATGGCTAAACGATCGAGGCACGTGTTTGTACCTGGGGTCTCCATGACCCTTAAAAAATGGGGTCATTACCCAAAATTGTGGGGTCATGGACCCATTTGTAAAGGGTCATGGACTCCAGGTACCTCCTAGTGACCGCGCTCTTCAACCAGAGACGGCAACAACGTCCGAAGCCACGGTTGGGATTCCGGCTGGTCGAGCTCATCTGGCCAGGAAAGCAACGAGGGGGTTGGATTGCGAGCCCTCCCTAGAAACTCAACATTGTGACCAAAGCTAAACCGAATCTCCTTGTTTCCCCATATCGGTCAAAATTTAACCACCAGGAATTGGACCGCAGATTTTAGTCTTTGGTTCCATTTACAAGGGCAGCCCATTCTCGGTACCTATTGACAACTACAGCTACATATGTATGGCCATGGGTCAAAATCCCGTACCCCCGCCATGGGTCAAAATCCCGTACACTCAGTGAACAACCCAATCCCCACTAAAATAGACTGAAATGGGTGGTGCACCTACCCCAAAATGGTACCATTGGTTTTGACCCACAGCCATATCTAAATCGCCATAAGATGGTTGCGGGGGCCGAGAGGAAGCGATTTGAGTCTCAAAGCCCATCCCAGACAACAAGATAACGAGCAAGAACACAGAAACGAAGACAATAAATGAGAAGCTCCTACAAAATGATACTTCAAAGTGCAGGGCATTGGTATGTTGCCAGGCCAGCACCAGAACAAAGGGCCCTTCACAGCCATGACTGAACTAATTATTTAGGCCTTCACTCAGCGAATGTGAAGCAAGCTTTCCTTTCGTAGAAGATTGTCCCTCCACTGATCCGTGCGAAATTGATTTTTGGTGGGTCCCCTATCTGTTCGGCCCGTATACATCTAGCAACCGTTGACTATTCCCAGAACCTGCGACATCTTGAGAAAGTGCTCTGATTTCTCTTGTAAACCCTCGAGGTCGCTATGATTTATCCAAGTGACCAAAACTCGTCACCCCATACCAGCCTTCATGCTGCTGCAGCAACTGCAAGGCATCTTTGGAGGCGCTGGAGTGTGCTACCTGCGACCAAAGCTGGGAAAAGGATGGGAACAAACTCTAGCGGTCCCTCGTGCACAAAATTCGTGCGGGGCCCGGTGGGTTTGTCCGGTGGGCAATTTCCCGGTGGCAAACACACTCCATGTGCTGGGTGTTGTGCTTTGGGTCTGTTGTGGACTTTGCCCACTTGGTGTTTTGTGACACTCGGCTTCGTCTCAGACAGGTGCATCGTCGTGATGAGTTGTGTGACATTGTGTGAGTGTGCACCCTGCACGTACCCAAATGAGTCATAATCACAACCCGGTACTAAAATGGTCTACCGGGAACCATGTAAAGAATTACGAAGGCGGCCGCTGTTATTTATGGTTGGGATTGTCCCTTACTAACCTTCATCTACCCGGGTGTTGATTGTCACTGGGCGCCATCCGACGCCATTACAACAAACCAAAAAAAAAGCTGTGGCTCGGAATGCGTGCGCCGTTTTGCCGGTGAGGGTAAAATGACCTCCTCTGACACACACCCGGAAAGGTGTGACAAGCCAGTTCAGGGATTCAACCCCTTTACATTGTTCTTGCGTAAATGACCCTAAAAGGCTTGCTGATGTTCATGCCTCCCCCAAAGGGGTATGTGCCCCATAAACTGGGTTGGTAGCCAGGGAAGCCAAGGGGTATGAATCGACACGGGGGTATGTAGTCCCCTAGGGTTGATAGTTGCAAACCCTTATCCCATGATCACATCAGGGATGTGATTCAAACGAGGGCCAAGTTGGAGGACATGGGAACCTCAACAGCAAACGCGGATGCGCATACACACACATTCACACGTCTATCTCGTTTACCTTCAATTACTTGAGACCGGGCCTGTTGATGGGAACTGGGCTGTCACGTTATGTCTTACTCACTGAGTCGAATATACTCAATCGAACAACTGAGGCGATTGTGTAAAGCGATTCGATGCAAAAGTGGAATCACCCCTCCGTGCTCTGTGTCATGGCACAAAAAAAACAAATTTGTTTGTCAGTCCATTGGGCCAGTTGTCTTGCAACGCACACGCACACGCACACGCACACGCACACGCACACGCACACGCACACGCACACGCACACGCGCACGCGCACGCACACACACACACACACACACACACACACACACACACACACACACACACACACACACACACACACACACACACACACACACACACACACACACACACACACACACACACACACACACACACACACACACACACACACACACACACACACACACACACACACACACACACACACACACACACACACACACACACACACACACACACACACACACACACACACACGCACACGCACACGCACACGCACACGCACACGCACACGCACACGCACACGCACACGCACACGCACACGCACACGCACACGCACACGCACACGCACACACACACGCACACGCACACGCACACGCACACGCACACGCACACGCACACGCACACGCACACGCACACGCACACGCACCGCACCCGCACCCGCACCCGCACCCGCACCCGCACCCGCACCCGCACACGCACACGCACACGCACACACGCACACACCCACACACCCACACACACACACACCCACACGCACACGCACACGCACACGCACACGCACACGCACGCGCACGCGCACGCGCACATGCACGCGCACGCGCACACGCACACGCACACGCACACGCACACATTGCAAAGAGTGGTACTGAATGGAATATCAAAGAACAGGTCTCTTTTCCAGACATATTTATAGCGCATGGCACACACTTAGCAGTACTCATGCTTGTTGAGAACTCACTGCTCAAACACACCCTTTCTGAGCAGGACTTGATGTGTCTTTGGGCCGGAACCAAAGTCGTGCTGTAAACCCAAAGTCGTACTGTAAACCTGCTAAAGTCAAACCAAACCTGTCATTCCCTTTGAACCCTATCACATGTGTTCAACACGGCAGAACATAACAGAACATAATCTCAGTGACGCTGCCAGTGCCCAAATCCTCGCCGCGTGCAAACACGCAATCCGCTTTTTCCTGGGCAAATGCATCGCGCTTTCCCGAGCAACGCGTCGGTCCTTTTCAAGGAGCCTGCGGAGCTCAAGGACTTCTCCGGCACGGAGTTGCAGATTCGAACCAACGTCAACCCATTGAAAGGGGACTTGTGCCAATCCCCTGGAAACACCGAATTCGATGTGGACGTTAACCAGGATTCCATGTCCAAAGCTGACCTCCAACTCACAGACTATCCTTGGGGGTGGTGAAGTCAGGTTCAGTCTTACCGAGATTGGCCGCACACTGCACGCATGTTGTGACAGGTTGATGGAAGACCGCTGCTCAAGTCGCAACATGGAATCCGACCGCTCCACATTGGCAAGCGCTTAATCTCCGCTCCTCTGTTCCGGATTCGTGCATCTGCATTTGCTTTCATTAGCATTGCCGAGGGAGCGACCAACACGTGTGCCTCAAACTTGCAACCTGTCGACTTCCTCAACGAGTTGATCGCGAAATGTGTGCTTCTGCAACTGGCAATGCTGGAACATGTCAGTGAACAAAACTCCGATCTCACCATTGGCGCTGCAGCTTTCGGCTGGATGTCATCAGGGCTTTGGGAAGCCCAGAGCTATTTTGTTCAGATCAAGTCACCTTCGCAACTCAAAGTTCATTTATTACAACACCACTTCCATTTGCTGAAGCCCCATGGAACAAAAAACAAACAAACAAACAAACAAACAAACAAACAAACAAACAAACAAACAAACAAACAAATATCATAGTCTGAAGCAAATGGGACAGGCGGGTCAGGCGTTTTTTACTCTTGCTGAGGCATCCTTGTTGGTGAATGCAGGCAAGAATTCTCGCTGCTCCAACTTTTGATGGGCAATTGGCAATTGCCTGTCCGGCCCGACACTATTGGAACTCCCTGCACCGAGCACGCGCCGGGAAGAGCAATCAGCTTGTGGAAGCATCACATGAAAAGCCCTGACATTCGGAAGAGCAATGCCTTCAGTGTCAGAACATTCAAGGCAAGCGACAACCATGCAGAATGCCAAGCCAGTCGGAATTCTTGCATACGCTACGATCAAGCCATCAGAGTCCATTGGGGCAGGATATTAGGCTGAAAGTTCAAATTGGACTTCGCTTGATTCTGTATCCCAAGAAACTTGGAATCACAAGCAATCATGCTCAAACAGCAGTTGGAGTTGCTTGCCAAGTCGCAAACATCTATTGGTAGCTAGCAGCTAGAAGCTCACTGCTATCAGTATATCAATGATGACAAGAACTTCTGAGACAAATCTTGGGGCATCCATGCAAGTAGATACTTCACATCCGGGCAATTCACAGTCAAGAATAGGGAGTCCTCCCAAAACTCTCAAACCTAAGGTCGCCAGACTCAAATGAATTGGCACATCGGAAGCTAAGCGGTTTTCCACGTCGGGGTATCCGCAAAGCTCTGTATGGTCACCAGGCCATCATCGCTCCTGGCAACGCTGCCGAATGCTGGGGAGGCCTTAGGATCATGGTAGATGCAAAGGCAAATTCTTGGGAGCAAGTAGGCTCGTGAATTCACTGGCAATGATTTTATATTGAAGAGCGACAGTCCCCCCCGCCCTCCCGAATTGATACATTGTGACATAGACACTAAGGCTTCAGCATTGCAGGCTGGATGCTCAATAAGCACCAGTGGCTGTGGTTTGCCCTTAAATTCATGGGCAAAACCGGCTAAGCGCATCCATGAAAAGCCTACTCCGAAGCTCAATACTCAATCTTATAAATGGATTTCCCCAACTTGGATCCCTCGAACCCCTGGTTCCATTTAGTCAGAGGGAATGTGTCTATCATCGTCTCCTGCTGCCTTATCTCCAGCACGCCAAAGTCGTGCTCTCCCGACCTGCGCGGTGCGGACTTGTTCCAGCCAGAGTCTGCTAACACTTGGCGGAGGCAATCAGCAAATGCAAACATGCCAAGTGTGACGCTGCCAACATATTGATCAATATTCTGATGTGTTTTCCTCTTTTTGTGCTGTCGGTCGACTGTCTGGCTGTCTGTCTGTCAACTGTCTGTCTGTCTGTCTGTCTGTCTGTCTGTCTGTCTGTCTGTCTGTCTGTCTGTCTGTCTGTCTGTCTGTCTGTCTGTCTGTCTGTCTGTCTGTCTGTCTGTCTGTCTGTCTGTCTGTCTGTCTGTCTGTCTGTGTGTGTGTGTCTGTCGGTCTGTGTCTGCCTGTCTGAGTGTCTGCCTTTCTGTCTGCCTGTCTGAGTGTCTGCCTTTCTGTCTGCGCGTCTGTACTTATGTGTGTTTGTTCGGTTGTCAAATTGCCTGGTTCCTGTCTGTCTGCTTGCCTGCCTGCCTGCCTGCCTGCCAGCGGATTACAGGCATCAGAACTCCGAACAAACAGCCCTCGCCTGGTCAGCAGTAACGAGCGCCAAGCTGTCTGGAGACCATGCCTGGCGAATGCTCTGACTCGCCTAAAAAAAGCCTCACCTTTGCCTCGCTCAACTGTAAAAACGCGCACGAGTTGGGACGTGACAAATTTGGTGTCTTCTTCGTCTGAGCTGCACTCAGATCAAGCTTGGCAGGTTCAGCAATTGCCCAAACCAGGTTGCCAGGATGCGTGGAGAGTGACCTTTCAAGTAGTGTTAACACGATTCACTTGAGGCTGCTCGCTCATGCAAACCGGTTTCCTTGCCGAGTATGGGTTGTCAGCACAGCAAGCGTAATTAATGCAAATTATTTGGAAAGGTTACTCTGGAAGGGAGGAATGAGTGAGAGATGGAAAGCACATCATATGCTATGCTCTCATCCCTCACCCAACCAGCCGACGGGAAGAAATGAGGCGGCTGAGGCTAAGGTGGGATCGGAAGCGAGGGTGTGCCTACCTCTCGGCTGTCACTCAGAGACGAACCAATGGAGCGAGCCCCATTCACGCCCCCCGTATGCATTTAAGAGTAATAATCGGCAAACTCTGCAAGTTATGCACCATGCGGAAAAAAAGGGCCTTCTGCATCCCTTTCGCAAGCGCTCTCGGCTGTAAGCCATTTGCTTCCAAGGCACTGCTGCCCAGATCTCATGGGAATGGCCCTGCAGGGTCGCCTCCAAAGACCAGCTGCCTCGCACGGACCTCGCTGGAAGTTTTTTTTCTGAGGGCCCGCAGGTTGGACACAACAAACGAATTCACCGATTTTAGTGGGGATTGAGATGTGCACTGGGAGTAGGGGATTTTGACCCATGGCCAAGTGAGTCATAATAATCAAAACCCGGTATTAAAATGGTGAACCCAGAACCATGCTTCAAGAAATTCAGAAGGCGGATATCCGCAGCTATTCATGGTTGGGATTGTCCCTAACCTTCATTTGCCCGGGTTTTGATTGTGGCTCAAATGGGCCTCGGCTTGCCTTTTGTCTTCCCTTTGAAGCCACCAAACGAAAGGTGTCGATAAAAAGATCCCAACTCTTCAATGACGTCTTCACTTCTTTTTTTTCTCGGTGGCCTCCTGAGAACAACCTGATGAAGCTGTGGAATACTGCGCGGCCAATCACGGCAGGGCCTGGAAGTCTCTTGTGCCTGGAAGCCAGATTCCTCCATTTGCTTCAGACCCCTGGAAACAATAAAAACATATTTCCAATAGTGATAGATTCCCTGTAACACCAACAGAGGAAATAAAGCAAATAAAACAAAACAACATATTCATTTCAGCAAATGGAAGGATTGGGATTCCCGCCACTCGCCGCATCCGATTGGCTTTGCCCGAGGCCGCGGCATGTTCTGGAGCCAAATGCGCGCCGAGCCGTCCTTGCTCCCGGTGAGGATCTGGCCGCGAAGCGCCGCAATCGAGGCGCAGCTCTGATGGTCCGTGAACCGAAGGAATCCTCGTGTTAAATTGACTGTCCAACCCTTGGTGTAGCAAAAACAACTGGTTTGTTTGCAGACCCCTAAACTTGAGCCAAACAAAACAACCTGCCCTGACACCCGCGAACATGGGTTTGTGCACAGACCCCTGTAGAAAGTCGACTTTCCTCTTGGAAAGGGCCAAATGTGCACCTCCATGTTAGTTGGTGGGAGGGTAATTCACACACCGAGAGTAAGGAAAACCGCCGGAACGGCACCTTGATGGCGCGTTTTACCTCCGAATCGGAGAAGGAAATACAACAGTCTAAAGTATCCAGTGTAAGGATTTGCCGAATGGATTTCTAGCAGACCCATGAAGCGCCGCAACCTCGAGGTCACCTGGGCGGCAACCTAAACTGTGTGCTTCCCTCATTGCCTATTGAACACTTGCGCCGGCTCACCAGCTGACGTTTTTTGCAAACACCAAAGGCGAAGCTGCAGTAGTACAGGATGGCCATGAACAACCTTCATATAGCAACAATTTCCTTGTGTCAGACATTGCAAGACAAGAACATAGCTTTATCCAGAATACCGCTCACCCGATGAAGTCGTCGAGTTGGTCTGGGAAGAATGTCAGTTCGCCACATTCGCCACAAAACGCCGCTGGAAACGACTTCAGGAAGCTGCATCCTCTTACGCTCTTAGCCCTTTGGAAGGGCACCTCTTTCCTTTTGATTGATCTAGCCGGGCTCTTCGAAATGGAGTGTTGGCCACTTCCAACTGAGAACTCGCTACAAAGGGGACCACTTTTGTAGCCAAAGGTGAGGATTAAGGATTGTCTCCGAGCCAGCATAGAGTATGGCGGCTTTGATAGAATCTCATTAAAAGGAAAGGTTGCCCGGTAGGATGCGATTGAGAAGCATCGAACACGCGGACTATGCTGAGGCAGTCACACCGGTATGTTCTGAATGCTCTTTGAAGACGGCCAAACAGCGATCCCATTCACGGCTTTTGAGATAGCTCGACGAGCTTACAGTCCTACAGTAGGTCATACATCCTTGCGGGCCTTTGGAGCATACGGCCTTGCCAACCACCACTTCCTGATAGCTATCTTAGAGAATCTTAAGCCAAGTCCACCAGACCACTCGTGCTTAGTTGCGTTTCCGTTGCACGATTTCTATCTCTTGACCTTGCGCAAGATGTTATTTTGAGACTTAACAGACTTCGCTGTATAAAACGCGCCTAATGGCTGGGTCCCCATTCTTGGCCCATTTTTGTAGTACTCCATCCAATCTCCCACAGTGTAGCTGTTTCCGAATGTATGTACATGGTACGGCTGACCTGCTAAGATCTGCTAAGATAGTAGGCCCCGTCAGGGCGACAAGGCTGGGCCTTCCATGTGCCAATCCACTCTGTTGGCGACCACCGGACTGGCGAGCCTAAAATTGCATTGCATCCATTGCTGGCATTGAAATTGGCCTCTTGACTAAGTCGAATCATGTATTGGGCCGAATCCAAGAACGAGGCTATCTGTCGACCTTTGTTTGCAGGTCATCCGCAGGCCTGTCACTCCAAAGGCCGTCACACCAAAATGACGATCACAAGCACAGAAACCAAAGGGACCCGGTTTTTGACCGCAACCAGGAGATTCACGGATTTTCGGCTCATCCTCATTCTGCACTACACTCGAAGACAACTGCCAACTCCGAATTCCGGAGGGCCCGCGCCCTGCGGCCGTCGGGCGACCAGGAAGCCACCCAAATGGGCGACCAGTCAGATATCCAGCCTTGGATTGCATTGCCAAGATGATGACAGCCGCAGCATCTTTCTAAATTGACTTCGCAACATCATGACCTTGCAGCATCATTTCATTCCAGGAGCATTCAAAATGAGTCTGATGGAGTCTCCCAATATCTCTGCAAAAACTGACTGACACATTCTCAAATCTAGCATGTCGTTTGGTCCTGATGATCCTGGGTTGTGTTACAAGTTTGTCATTCATTATATTGTTCATGTACGTACTGGGTTTTGATTCGAGAAGGTCCTAAGGTGGATCTATTACAAAACTTCTGCTAGCAAACACGGTACCAAGAAACTCTCAGCAGCTGCAAAAACGATGTCAAGTTCTGGGTGGAGAAAGACCACAGCTGACTCTATGTCTGGGAGGGTAGTAGTACGGCCAAGGAGGACGGAACACCCCAGTATGAGGCAGTACTTACTGCTACTTACTACATCCCATACCGACCCAAGAGCATCGTGGACGACAACATGCAAACTGCAAGTATGCTGAGCGAGCACCACTGAAAGAGACATTCCAATAACAACATGTGCGTGAGACTTGTCTCAAAAATATCACGGTCTTAACACCGAATTGGGATTGCTCACCTTGCATAGTGCTTGTGATGCTTCCTTCATGAGCCAAACTGTTGACGGCAAACACCCAGCACACATAGCAAGGTGCCTTCGCCAATCTGATCCGTGCACACCAGCAAAGCGCTTGGGATTCTCACTCCAAGTCAAGCCACCCATGTTGGAGTGCGGGTCCAAGGTGTCCAGGCGTGCCTCTTCTTCCGGCAGGTGCGCCGCTGTGTTGGTCCTGATGCCACCCGTGATGCCAAGAACATCCCAATAAAGCAATAACCCAAAATCGGCACAGCTCAGGCCTGAGGGACCATATGTAGTGTCTGCTGCAACACAGCCATATTCACAGCCATGGTCCAAGATCCTGTCCCGCGGACCTGGTTGTTCTTGGGGGTTGGTTGGCATCTGATGAAATGGTGTTTGCTCCAGAAAAAACAGACCTCCAGGCCTCTCTATCCTTCTTGAGAATCCTGGCGCAGCTAGTCGCTCAGCCAGCGCAGCTTCCCAAGCTAGCTGGAAGGACTCGAGGCTGTGTTGGGCTAGGCAGAATTAGATGCGAGCTGGGCTAAGCTGGGAAGCTGGAAATCAACTGACTACAGTGGACTGGAGGGCTGGAGTGAAATGGCTATGCGCGTGACAAGCCAGGCTGGCGCGAGCTAGCCAGGACGGGTGGGCGCCGCGCTTCAGTCCAGCCTTATTCACTATCGCCAGCCCGGTCGAGTGTTTGGGCCATCGGCAGGGCGCAAACATGATTGCCCTTTGTGTGGCATCACACAAGTTGCTCCACAACCAGATCTGTTGCTTGATTTCGAGCACAACCGCTGGATGCTGGGCTGGGCCGAGGCGGGCAATGCGAAGCGTTCACAATTTTCCTTGGCGCACGCGACACATGGAGCAACAAGCAAGCAGTAACAGCAGCAGAAACAGCAGCAGAAGCGCAGCAGCAGAAGCAGAGCAGCAAAAGCAGCAGAAGCAGCAGAGCAATTGGACGTCGGTATGGTCTCAAGCGCCCTTCTCACATCTTCACCTGAGTTTGTTTGTGACATAATCGAGCATTTGCCAACAAGGGGCCGAACGGGACACTGTGTACAAATCCATTCATGCCTTGCCTGCTCAAGAACAACAAGCTCAACTCGCCAATCCTGCCCCTGGCAAGGTGCATAAAAACGCACCATCTCTGTCTTGCACTATGTTCGCTATAGTACTTTTCCGCCCGGTTGTGCTGGATGGAAGCACGGCCAGCGCTTTGATGATGTTTCAACTCCCCGCGCTAAAGGCATCACAGGCGCAGGTTGGGCGGCACCTTCTGGCCGTTGAACTGCGTCAGAAAGCCCTGACCGGCCGTTAAACCCCCGGAGCGACTTGGGAGGCGCAATGAGGCGCAACCTATTGGCCTGATGGGGCGAACGAGAGCCACCTACAGGCCTGAAGCTCGAGAAAAGCCTTAGCGCAAGGTCAAAGCACCCGCCTCCAAGGACCAAGTCGATCTGTTGAAAGGCCGCCTGGCGGCCGGATACAGGCTTACAAGCTTACAAGGTCCATATTCCGCCAGATAACCTTCTGGAAATGTGCTGAATTGTAGCATGCATGTGCCGGAAAATGCCGTGAAAAAGCAGGCATGCCCTACCGTTGGTATAGAAAGCTGATGTCATGAAGCAATCTTATGTTGAATCTCCACATGCGCTGCTGCAATCTTGCATCCATCGACCATTGTCAGTTGACATGTTGATGTTGGTGGGTGATGTCTGTTCATTTTGTTGCAAACGTATTGCGTGGGTGGAAGGTATAAGGCTGGTGGAGGCTTCGTGCCACTTGTGAATCGTGCTGAAGGATGAAGACCGCGCATGCCAGAAATCGGCCCATGAGAAGTCATACAATGGGTAGATGCTTGCCTTTCAGAAACTGTCTGAAGCTGTTCTCTTTGGACAAGTATGCATGTGAGTCAACTTTGAACGCATGCGTCAGTGTCGCAACAGTCATGTACTCTGCTAGCCATTGGATTCGATTGCATTTGTAGAGTCACATGACGCGTTCTTAGAGTTGCTGACAGCTTGACCGAGAGTCCACAAAAGTTTCAGGACAAAGGCCAAGCCAGCCAAGGTTAAAGATGGTGAAGATATGGCCATGGGTCAAAATATCGTACCCCCAGTGAACATCCCAATCCCCACTAAAATAGACCAACATGGGTGGTGCACGTGCCCCAAAATGGTACCATTGGTTTTGACCCACAGCCATATGCTTAGTTTCTCATGTACTACACTACTAAACTACCCCTAACCTTTGGCAAGACAAATCAGATGTGGAGCTGCTGCGCCATTCTCTGCCCAGGCACCAAATGTACGCGTAGCCATTCCGTCCGCTCGTCAGCACCTGAGGCATCGGCAGAAGCAAATAGCGTCGAGCAAGCCTTGAAAGTTAGAAGTGGTGGCAACTGAGGACTTCGTATGGACAAGTTTGCTGGAACTAAACCTGTGTGCTCGCGACTGAAGCCGAAGCCAGCTGCCCACTGGCTTCAGAGGCTTCCGTTGAAATCCAGCGTAGCATTTCTGGTTGGTGTCTTGATGGGTGACTCTTAGTCTGCCCGACGGCGTGCTGTATGGTTGTGGCAAATCCCTGGAGTGCAGTCCAGCATGTCAGGGCAACAAGTTGGGGCTGGCTCACTGCTCAACAGGGCAATTGGGAAACTTCCCAAGAAGCTAATTACTGTCAGCATGGCTCCTGTTAACTACAACTTGCTATCTTTTGATTGATAAATCCTTGAGTCTCTGATTCTTGTATGCTCTTTGGTAGCTGTGGGCCGTTGCCGCTTTGGTTCCCTGACTCCATGGGCTGAACCAACAACACTCGCATCCCACAATAGAGGGCACCGTCAAGCAGCAACAAAAAAATGGGTGGCAACAATCCATCACAGACTTCCCAAGCAAAACTCAGAGCACAGCACCACACAATCCACCTCACCGTGGCAACATGAACTTTCCTGCCGAGTCGCTAGCTCTCCATCCGGAGACCAAGCCACAGCGCGGACTGCCTCACCCGAGCGTCAAGCTGACGCTTGTGCTATAGTACATACACTTGAAATCAAGTTCAACATGACTCAATGGTCTTCCAAAAAACCCTGGTCAGGTTCCATGTTGATGCGGTGACTCAATGGTCTTCCAGGAACCCCCCTGTCAGGTTCCATGTGAAAAGGGTGGGAGGGAAAACAACACAAACATCTAGTCGAGCTCTGCCCTCTGCGCCTCCGTATGGACCTGCTCTTCTGTGAGCACATCCCATCGCTGGCTTCCTCAGCTGTGTCGTATCTTCGTTTCAAGCCTTGCAGAAGCGGAGGTAACAGCTGGGCCATGAGACGCCTTTGGACGCAAATAGATGAGCCATAAGAACACGGTGCTCACTCAGTCTCTCATTCATCAGTCTTGCTTCCATCTGAGGAAATTCGCACACACACAACAAACATGAAGCGTTGTGATGCCATGAATTCAAGAATGAGCCACCGGCATGTTGTGTTTCGAATCTCCTACTTAGTCACGCTCATTCTTTATTGTTAGTAGTAACACCTGGAATGCCAACTTGATTCTAATCTTGCTTTGGTTTGCTCAGCATTCGGCGACGGTTTAAACAATTCAGGTTGGGCAAGGCACATTTGGTGTTTGGAAGACAACATGGCGCCAAACAACATGAAACTGGCTTTGTTGCTAGCATCCGTGCGCTCGCCGCCATTCAGGAGTGCATTGCGTCGCAAGCCGCAAACAACAACCTCACCCGTCCTTGGGGGGCAGGGGGAAGGGAGGTAACATTGTCATTCACATTTATGACCCTATCAACAGGAAAATAAGCTTCATTTTTCACATCCCAAAGAAGGCTGCTACATGTGTGTCGGTGTCCTTCTCTTCCTGGCTTTCAGCTTTGCTGATCTATCTTCACAGCTGGGCAATGTGATCCCTCACAAATGACTGGAGGTGATACAGCATGGGTCGAAGACAAGGGGATCCACCCTCAGATCAAGACAGTAAAGAACACGCACACCGACAGCACCTTGGGAGTCTCAAAGCCGGGCGGCCGCTGCCATGGAAGTCGACGTCCGCAAGCTGCCAAATCCGGGCGCGCCCATCGCTTCCGCCTGTCCTAAGCGAACGGAGCAAACCAACTCTCGCCCTAACATGGAACCAACCCCACAAACCTTTGGTCCAGCCCCGACCCCACCCAGCCCCGACTGAGCCCGACCCCAACTCCACACCCAGGTTCCATGTTGGTGGGCCGGACGGCAATCAAGCGCATAGCGCGAAAGTCAGCCAGTGAACAAACCGTCTGCAGGCTCAATTGAAGCACTCCACAAGGTGAGCGGGCGGCAAGCCACCAAAAGGAAATAAGGCGGCTTCCGACACACGTTATCGCTTTTGAAGAGTCTCCATGTTAATTGGGTTGCAACCTGGATCTTGCAACTTCACGTTCTTGTTCCGCTCGGAAGAAGAAGGCGTCCGTGTTCGTGAAAACCATGCCTTTTGCTCAAAACACGGCCTAAGTGTTTGGCCAGAATCTCGGTGTTTCACTCATTTTATCCAGGAGCTCCCGTTTCCAAAGAGCGTATATTCCTCCAAAAACGGCTGTGTTGAAAAGCATCCGTTTGGGGGTGGGAACAGAACAAAGCAGCAAACTAAACGAAGATCTAGGAATGCTCGTGGAGTTGGTCTGGTCCGCAGCCCGCAGCTTCTCACCACGAAAGTGGCATGTAAAGCGGGCTTTGCCAGCTGCAGCTCGAAAAGCGCAGCGTTTCAGCACGAAAATCGCAGGCAGGCGCCTTGGCAGCCCGGCTGGAAGCGCCAGTTTTTCTCCAAGTAGTGCACCAAGTGCCCTTTGGCAGCCCCGGCGCGAAAGTGGCAACTTCCCAGTACGAAAGAACGCGAAGTGCACTTTCGCTGCTCCGGCTCGAAAGTCTCAGCTTTTAAGGGCAAGTGCAGTGTGCAAAGTACGCTTTGGCAGCTCCAGCTCAAGAGAGTCGCGACTGTTCAGTGCAGGTTCAGTACACGAAGTACAACTTGGGACCAACACTTTTAATCATGATGTGTGAACTGGGTCTCGCTTTGGGCTGGGCCATCCTGCATAGGCATTTCAACGTTGATATTGCAATGAATTATTCCCAGCAACAGTATCACACCGTCACAAACGCTGATGAGAGATGCAGCAAAGCTACACACATAATTAATATACAACGTACATGATATACTACATTATATATACCATATTTTGGCTGACAACACATTGCGTGGCCTGTGTCTTTCTCGCGTCCTCTCGTCAACAGTGAACAAGTAATGCATTGACAATCTGCAGTGAACATGCTAGAACCCTGCCATACCATATAATGCATGGATAACAAAGTGAACACCTCGAATCCTGTTCTCCACCATTGGAACTGATGCTTCCCCTTTGCCAACCATTTGGGTGTCGTTTTTGAGGGTACCCTTCTTGGGTTGGTTTCAACCGGAAACCAAAACAGGGGTCACTGGATGTCCTTTTCACAGTTGCACTGTCTTGGCTGTTTCCATTGACACTGCCACTTCTGGAGGTTCCACAAAAAAACTGGAGGCAACCTTACAAGGGAAAGCCATCGTTTTGGGCTAGGTCCTCCAGTGGAGAGGTTGGAATAAGGGTACCTTTTTTCTGTATAAGAGTTTAGTAGGGGAACCTTCCCCCCTAAAAGGGTAAAAAGGGCACTACTGGGGGACCTAGTGGGGGTTCCTCCACAAAAAAGACACGCCCACTTCCACGGCGCAACCTCAAATCTTCCCGAGACTTGGCTCCAGGCAGAAGTCGCTGCCCATCTGGTGACCACCTCACCGAGACCATGAGGTGCGTAGTGCCCTGGCGCCGCACTGGGGCCCAACGGGAAAATAAGTACGTAGAGATTAACGTGGGTGTGTCATTGTTAAAGGGCCCCCCCATATATATACACACTATATGGTACATGTATGTATGTATGTACATATATATATGGTGGTGTTCCTTTTGGGTTCCCTTTAAAGCCCATAAGAAAAGGAACAACACCCACACGGAGCCCGCAAAGCTGATGCAGCGGAATCTCCTGGGACAAACCGTTCGGCCCATGTGGGTTAAGCATATCAACAAATCCAATCATTCCACAAAGTGACAGTTCGTAACAACCAATGTCCGGGGAACAACCAAATAAATAATGCATTTTCAGGGGTACATCATTCCACTGTTTCCACTTTGGATCGCAACCATGTCTGCATGCCGCACGACTCTTCATTGAAAACAACGAAACTGCCCCCTATACGCGTCGCATGAATCCTTCGGGCTCATCGCTCGAACGCATCGACCCTTTTTTGTTCCGCCACAAGCGGCGCCCTGCCTCCAGCGTGCTCTCCAGCGCCCACCTTTGGGGCATCTCCTGGGCGATGGAACTCTCATGGAACCTCCAGGCTAGGAGCAAATCTCAGCCGTTCACCTGCCTATTTAGGAGCTGGACTTTGGATCTTGGAAACCTCACGCTCCCGGAAAGCGCGGCAAGAGATGAATACACCAGTACCGTTTCCGCAGACTGTCTCCGCCACTGAAAAGTGCCGATGGGGATCCTGGTTTGGTGATGGGAAGTCTGAGGTTCCCAGATGCAAATCTGATCCAAAGAGATGCCCTGGAAGGCTGGGACAATTGTCTGACGCCTGTGCATGATATTTCAAGGAAGTCCACATCCGTATTGCCTGTTTCGCACTTTTTCCTTAGATGCAGTTTGACCTGAGGCTCTTATTGAGCTGAACTGATCTGCTTTGCCAGCCTCAAACTCACTTTCGCACCATTTGCTCTAGAGCAGGCTAAGACTGCACACATGAAACATGGGCAAGCGCATACAAGTGCCTATCTGACATTCCTCCCAATCTCATCAAACAAGGTGAACATGCAGCAAATGGCAAATGAACGTATCGCTCGCAAATATCTTGCAACTGTCCATCCCGCCTTGCTGGCGTGCCAGATGGCCGCTGAATGGTCTAAACCTGAGTGCACACTGGGGTTCGCAAGGCCAGCGTGCCGTTCGTTAAACGATTTCTTCCAGGTACATTACAGGGGTTTGAGGTCGTCATATGAGCCTCCAAGCTCCATGGAACAGGACACCCGTTTGCTCTTGACGAGTGGGCTGGTGTCGTAGATCGAAGCATGCTGAAACTCTGGCACATCTGACATGGCTCTCCTTTGGATGGTTTCAATCGTCCGTCCGCGTATGGATGGACTTCGTGATGGCTTCTACGGCGGTTCTGCATAAACACCTGCTTTCATATTTTTGCTCCAAACGGGCTTAAAACCCCGGACAACCCCCCGGACAAACCCCCGGACAACCCTCCGGACAGCTTTTAGGGCACAAGATCGGCGGGACAACTCCCCGGAGAGCTTTGAGGCCCCAAAAGCCCGGGACAAACCCGAGCACAAACCCCCGGACAACCCTCCGGACAGCTTTGAGGGCCTGAAAACCCGGGACAAACCCCCGGACAAGTCTTCGGACAGGTTTGGAACACGCCAAAACCATGCACTCGGAAACCATTCGGAAACCGCTCGGAAACCACTCGGAAACCGCTCGAAAACCACTCGGAAACCACTCGGAACCCGCTCAAAACCACTCGGAAGCCACTCGGGAATCACTCGGAGGGAAGTATTCTCGCGGGAGGGGGGTTTGCAGCGGCAAAGTGCGCGGACAACCCTCCGCACAACCCTCCGGACAATCCCCCGGACAACTTGCTTGTCCAGCAGTTTGTCCCGCACTTTGTCCGGCTCTTTGTCCCGCACTCTGTCCCGTATGCAGAAGGGCATTCGTCAAGTTCTAACAACTTTACAACCCCTGGTAGCGTAAAGTCTGTTTTTGCAGCCCCCTACTAAAAATGCGCAAAACCAAAAAAATGTAAAAACCTCAAAACAACTTGATCCAACGGTGAAGACACATTCTGCGAGTTGACAACAACGTCTTCCGTACCAGGCACTGCCTAGGTATGAAGCCGCCAGGCCTCTCGCTGCGCCCCCGCTGCAGGGACTCCACTTGCCTCAGCTTTCTTGCGGCAAGGAAGCATATCTTTTGGGGGCTGGGGGGGAGGGAGGGTAGGGGGAGGGAGCCCAAAAAAAAGCCCTTATTAAGGGATTATTTAGGGCTTATTTGGGCTCCCCCCCCTCCCCTCCCCCCCAGCCCTCGTGAAGATCCCCATCCCCAACAAATGATGAGGGTCCCCCTTGCATCATTTTGCACCTTTACGCAGCAAGGAACATTAAAAACACGGCCTTGAAACATGTGGATCCTCCCAACACATTGATGTTCAGTTCCATGTTGAAGCTTGCCACTTCACAGTCGCCTGATGGGAGGACAGGTCATGAACAAAGCTGAAACGAGAATCAAATTCGTTTTCGTGCATATAAGTCTCATGTTACTGCAGCTACACTTCTCATCGGATAGGCTGACGAAAGAAGCATGGCTTCATCTATCAACACACAATTGGTGCTCGTACCCTACTGCTCTTCTTGAACCAAGTCCGGTTAAGATAACTGCTGGGTATTGAGAATCTGTGACTTGCGGGCGCCAAAGAGTAGATCAGGTCGCCTCTGGAAATATGATATTGACCCGAGTCTTACCTACAGCAGACTGACCAAGTCCGTGAGCTTTATCATAATTCGCAGTTAGACTGATCATGCTATCTTTCGGGGACTCATGAAAGACCCATCTCAAGTGTTGCTCAGTCCCAAGGCCCAAACTGTGCTGCTCCCAAACTTGGTGAGTATGCACATACCTTCAATGTAGCACTGCGCGATTCCGCAGAGACTCCAATCACGCTGCTCATTGGATGTCATCAAGTGTTGCGTCCCAAAGACCTGAAAACTCACAAGGAAGCCCCTACCATGAGACCACCTCAAAGACGCTTTTCTCAGGGGGTTTGAAAAACATCCGTTCCAGCTTCTACTACTACTACTACTACTACTACTACTACTACTACTACTACTACTACTACTACTACTACTACTACTAGGTCCTCCAGTAGAGAGGTTAGAATAAGGATACCTTTCTTTTCTGTAGTCTATCTTAGTAGGGGAACCCTCCCAAAAAAAAGAGGTAAAAGGGCACTACTGGGGGACCTAGACTACTACTACTGTTGCTGCTGCATCATTGACAATTTTCAACTCCAATCCGGGCAGCTGGAAGGCGCTTGCGAGCACGCCGTCCGCTCATACCTCGCACATGAGTCTGACCCCTGACCGGCGGTCTCTGTGTCAACAAATGTGGTTTACACTGAAAATGCTGAACGGAGCTGCGGCAATGATGCGGAGAGTCTCATTGCACCAACTGATAGAGCCACAATTGATCCCGTGCGAGGCAGCATCCCGAAGCACATGGAAGTACAATACAACTCATGATGCTTGGATATGTGTGGCTTAGACTCAGACAGTTAAATTATGCTGCGCAAGTCCAACCTCAAGCCGAGCTGCGCCCCAGCCAGCACGCGACCCATGACGCTTCCGTTTCTCCACTCCACAGCCTCAAAGTATCTGCGCGACTTCCGAAGAAATTGTCGACCCCAATCTGCAAAACGCCGATGCTTCCATACGGGCTGTTCATACGCTAACCACCCGGTAGTGGATTCATGTTCTTTCGTGATATGTTCATCAAGAAACGAGGAAGGTCATGGGTAAGTTTCGTTCAAACGCAAGGACTCCCCTGCTATCACACGATCCACACAGTACTTGGAAGTGACAACTTGGGTTCAACTCCGGCACTGTCCGGCCCAAAGGGCGCCACAAAAGACGAGAAAACCGACGGGGCCCAGAAGGGTGACTCATGCAGTTTACTAAATCAGAATCAGACACAGCATAAAACCTGTTTTGGGTATACGATAACACGTACTATATGTGTATACATTGTGCATATATAGGTATATATCTATTTATGCGCAGATATGTACAGAGACAAACATGTATGTGAATATAACAATTCTAGATATAGGCAATGTTAGCTTTGCCAAGACATGCTCGACCAAACAACTGCAACCACTGGCATGATCAGTTCCACTGTGATACCAACTGCAGCCCCCCTTTCAGCAGTAAACCCACATGCAAGAAGGAACCAGCATGCTACCCTCGCTTTGCCCCAGATTAGGCGTTCCTCGGAAAGTGAACTTCAAAGACAGTCACCAATTCAGCCAAAGTTCCAGCACTGTGTCTGGGGACTGCAACAAGGAGTGCAGAGTCCAGTGTTCCATCAGCCGGCCCTGAATTCGAGGCGGCCTGAGCGCAAATTCCAAGATCCAGAAGCATCAAGCACTGTGGAGCAATTGCCCAACATGTAGTGTACAAACCTTGATTCACTGCATACTTCGGGAAACAGCACATGTACCTGAATTGGGACTTCAGGGGGAATAGAAACGACAAAGCCAACACGGGCGACTTCAAACGACCAGCTTCCTAGAAGGCTACTTACAATAATCCAATATTCAGGATGGGCTTACTTTTTGGATTTAAGTTGACCAAGAAGGACAGTGACAGTAACACTATCAGAGAGCACACTGCATAGAAAACATTCAAAGAAAGATAATGTCTTCAAACGGCATCGCTGAAATCTACAAGGAAACACCTTTCTCATCTTGGACAGGGTCAGAACCAAACTTGGGGAGAAAAATCCGCACGCAGTGACCAACATGGACCACCGATTGGCATAGGTCAACTTCTCAAACTCCGGCACCCTCTGCCAGTTGAACTTGCAGTTGGTTCCTTGGAAGTAGATGGTCATTCTTTCAGCATGGACTGGTTTGAATTTTACTGAAGCATCAGGAATTGCAAACGTTGCCACACAACGAATCGAGCACACGCAAGGTAAAGTAGAAGAGACCACGGATTCACGCAAGGCTAAGCAATCGTGGGTGCATGTTCTCAACCCAGGTTGTCTAGTGAAGAACCGCAAAAAAAAAAAACTGCGGAGAACAAGTTCAGGTACGAAGAAAAACCCGTGACCCTTTCAACACCACGTGGGGATCTGTGCCAAGTGGCGGGATGGGCGCCGTGCCATTGACTGTCTCATTGGGCTCCGGCGGCTCTCGCAGAATTCGGCTGGCATTGCCGCTAGGTCTGGCACAGCTCGCATCAGTGATGCGGGCAAGGCAAAGGGCAAACAGTGCTTGCTTTTGCGGTGTCTCTCTAATGTCATATCTGCATCAGCCTCACAATTGCGTTTGCTTGGCTCCATGAGTAACCAACTTGGCCGAAGAATGGATTTCTGGGAGCCATTCCAATCTGCATGCCCTGCCGCTCTCGAGCGTAGGCATTGGTCGCTTTTAGCGATCAGTCCCGATTCCACTTGCGGCACAAACAATCATAACTCTGATGATTGTGTGCTTCAGCCCGTGTAACTGTCACATTGTGCCACCTTTAACAAACCCGGCCTGCCCGAGTCTGAGAACAAAATCCTGCCAGCAAGTCTTGAATAGCCATATCGTCATCTTGCTTGGTAAAAGCTGCTATCAATGTAACATGACCGTTCAAGAGCATTCAACAAGAGGTGGCGGAAGAGTCAAAGTCAATTTGAGAAATGAGTTTGTCCAGCCCGGCTTTGGAATGCACCAAGAACGCGTAATTTACTTCCCAACACTACTTGCCTCTAAAACTCACCTGGTCCTGGCCTTTGCAAGACTTCTTCCGACATATGCTGGCGTCAAACACATGTGTTTGATGTATTAAATATGTGTATATATATACCTGGAGCCCGAAACATCCGTTTTTAAACAGTCGTAAGAACATCCATCATCAGTTCCGGTCGTTTGCTGCAGTTCCGGCCGTTTGGCCTGATCACCATTTTCTGTATTTTGTGTTGGGCATATCCTTTTCAGCCTCGATTGACTTGCATCTCTGCAAGACTGGCACCAACCCTGCCCGGCCAACCCGCAGGGTCTCAAGCGTGCCGCAGCAGACTGAAATGCACTGATCCCTTTGTTTTCTCTTCTAGGCTTTCTTGCAAAAGGGAAAGGCATGGAGAAGGGGGCTGCGCGAACTGCACACTTTCAAGACCCTTCGGTTCATAGGTGTACCGCCAGCATCAGCAGCATGTGGGGTCGACGAACATTGTTTATCACCCCAAAGCCCTGGCGAGAACACTATAGTTGAGCGGCTTTGGCAGTGGGTCAAATCACTCTTCCCTCACGCACCCAATGGGTGTCTTTCAGGTGGTTTCCCAATCTTTACAAAGGAGGCTTCTGCTGGTAAAAAGGAGTGGTCGCCCCAATGGCCCCATCCAAAAGCAACCGAAAACCCATCAATTCAGAAACAGTTGTTTGCACGGACAGTTCTGGTTGTTGCACGCACGGTTCTGGTTGTTGCACGCCTGGTTCTGGATGTTTCCTGGTTTTGTCCATCGCCAGTTTCGGCCCGAAAGCGGGTTTTCGGGCCGAAAACGAGCCGAAAACGGAAGACAACGGGCCGAAAACGGGCCGAAAAGCCGCCCCCCGAAAATCCAATGTTCCCCCCGCAAAAAAAACAAAACGAGGAGTCCGGCCGCCCAAAAGCAGGCTTTTTTTGGGTGCCCTTTCTTGAGGAAGGTTCTAAACCAAGGCTAACACCATGAGTGGGCAGAAATTTGCGTCTGCGTCGTTTCTTGTTTTGCTGCTTGGTTCCATGGAGAAAGGGACAGGTCTGTAAAGCAAGCCAGGCGCACTGGGCAAAGGCTGTGAAGAACACACGCATGCAGCTACACTCACCATGCTCTGATCTGAAGTGTCATAACTGTACTTAGCAGTGGCTTCTCGATTCTAGATTGTGCGCATGAATGCTCACGGCCATTTCTGGTTCAGCCAACTGGAAAAATGGAAAGTAGACAGGCCTGGCAAAGTCAAGGCCGCGTAGGCTAGGGATTTCGAACCGGTTCCGGTCGTTTGCCTCAGAAGTGGTTTTTCGGCCCGCACCTGCTTTGAAACAGTCGTTCAAGGCCCAGGTATGTGTATTCTCTTCTACTGGCCCCCTTTTTCACCTTGTTCTAAAGGGAAGCCACAAAAAACACCACCCCCGTTTGGTCCACCATGCCAGCCACGCGCCTCCACACCCGCGCGGAGCCGTCCGCGCTGCCCGCGAGGACCTCCCCGGCCGCGGACCACGCGGCGTCGCGCACCGGCGCCTGGGTCTTGGCGCCCAGCACGGCCTCGGCGAGAAAACCGCGCTAAAAAGGGCGGTTGGCTCGGAGGACTCCATGGGCGTCTTTCTCGCCCCCTGGGAAAAATATATACGTATATATATATATATACATATATATATATATATGTATTAATATATATATATATATATGTCTATATATTTATACAAACATTAATATATATATATATATATCCACTAGTGATAGATTCCTTTTAACACCAACACCACGGGAAACTATATTTGTAAGAAACACACACTGATTTTTAAGCGAATGAAAGGAAAACGGTTCCCTGGGTCTGCGAACTGTACCACAAGTCCAAAAGCTGAGTTAAGAATTGGATCTCCAAGTAAGAAGCCTTCTTTAGCTCGTTTGACCCCCAAGCTCGCCATCAAATAGGAATGCCCTGCTTTGGGGGGGGGGGATCCCAAATTCCGTGTGTTTCTGTGGCCCCCAAAATAAACGCTGTGGTTCTGGGGCGAGGCAAGAAAGCTAAGGCTTTTTGTTGGGCCTGTGAAGACCCTCACCCCAATTGGTCTTCTTCCCTATTCGGATGCCTTCAAGGAGAAGAAAGTGAGACCAATCCAGAAACCCGGCAGGAGGGGGTACAGGATACCTGAGCCAAGCTGGAGAAAGACTTATTGAAGGAGCTTCCACCTGCTGGGTTTCTGCGGGACAGGGCTTACGGGGTTGATCAATATTCCTGGCCCCCACATGACCATGGGTAACTGTTCGCATTTCGAACAGAAATAGGATGTATTGAGTAATTTCCCGCAATAGGCATCCCATGCTTGCCGGACCTTTTGATCAACCCCCACGGCCACTCCGTGGATCACCGTTGCGCAAAACCAGCGATTGTGAGCGAAGCGCGATGCGTCAACACCCCATCTTTGCTTTGCAGAAGCTTCATGTCAATGTCCGTCTGCAGGACTGCAATGGTCCGTCATCCCCTGAAATATATCTTGAAATAGTCAAGTCAATAGTCCTCCATGTCAAGCAGTAGGAGTCGCATGGTAACAACACTGTCTTTGTCCGCAAGCCGCAACACCATTTGAACTTGCGCAGTGCCTGAACATGCTCCGGAAACATAGGCACCCCTTCACACATGCCCAACTTGATGAGCATCGCATTGCTTTGGCGCGTCCGGGTAACATGTATCGCAGAGCAGCAAATTGGTAAGTGTCCCTTCTCGAGCTGTGCCCGTATCTGCTTTCGTGCTCTCATATCATAGACATCAAGCCAGAGTCAAACTAGTGTGAGGCAGAGTCTCTATATACACCTTCGGCTTCTTTTTTTGGGAACCCGGGCCTGAACGAATCGAAGGAACGCCTTGGGGCCCTGCCATCAAGGACCAGCTGTCTGGCGCATGGTTCGCAATCGCTGACCAATTCCCGTCCGCAGCTTCCGCTGCCTGGTAGGGGGAGCATGTACGAATCCGCGCGAAGTCACGACAAAGTTGGGTGTCTCTTCTTGACACCTGAAAATTGGGATCTGTTCCTTGTGTTTGCGTCCTCTTTAAACCAAGACCTTTTTTTCAGAAGGGGTCTCCAAAACACAAAGGTTACATTCGTGTGTACCGCTTTGCATTTGCCTCTCGTGCTCACCAAAATGACAGCAAAGCATCCAGAAATCCATACCACCATCCATTGGTACTAGAACTTCAGTGCTTCACAGACCTTACCATGCCACGGTTCTCCAAGAAGGGTGCGCAGCGAAACGAGCAATACTTAATACCGAATACCTGACATTCCCCCACTTTGGATAAGTCACTTCCCGCTGTTTTCAGCCGCATGATTATTCTAAGCATCCCAGGAGCCTCAAAAACCGATGAAAATGTCATACCTACACAAAACACAATGTTTTTTTGGGAAAACACGATGTTTTCGGGAAACACCGCATTTTCGATTTCAAGCAGTTTCCCATACATTCCTTCAACTCGTCATCCGTTCTCAAAAGATCTCAAAAGCATCATCTCAACCTCAGAATCTCCCATCGCCCTCCCCTTTTGCACTCGCAACGAAATCAGCTTCGCATTCGCCACTCGTCTTTCGCAACTCCAACCTGAAAGAAGGAGGCCGGGGACCCAAATAGTCAAAAGTACAACGGTTTTATGACACTTGTCAAGCAGCAGTGCCATGATGAGGGCGTGCTGGCTTCGAACAGCGCGCAAGCTCAAGCAAAGACCGTGCTTTTGCTCACGACTTCGTTGTTTTCCAGCAACATTCTCGAATTAGCGCATTCGTGGTTGAACCCGAAAAACCCATAGAATTTCCACGCTTTGCCACGCTTTACTACGGGTTCTCCACGGTTTAGCTACGGGTTAGAAAACACGATGTTTTCCAAAAACACGATGTTTTCGGTTGGGGCTGCGGGCTTTCTACGGGTTTCTACGGGTTTTCTATGGGTTTCTACGGGTTTTCTACGGGTTTCTGCGGTTAGCCGCCAGGATCCCGCCCCATTTTCTAAAAAAAACAAAATTGATCTCAAAAGTGTCACCTGGTCTTGTTTTGCACCAAAAGGAGCTTTCGGATTCCAGCACCCCCTTCAAACTGGTTCGGTATGACCTGGCGCCAGTCTTCAGGTGCCTGTTGCTGTGAAAGGTACTTCAAGACTGAAGCCAGCTGCACACCCTGGCTGTCAGGCTCATCAATGTGGTCCTTAGAATTTGAAGCATACTCAGTATAGAGCGTTGCCCTCAGTTGAAATCTTAATGGGTGATGGCTGTGTGAATCCACTCCCGACCCTTGCCTTTGACCCTTTGCTCCAAATGAGTGTTTGGCCTCAGAAGCCCATTTTTAAGGGGTTTTATCAAAAAAATGTTTTTCCTGAAAACACGATGTTTTCAGAAAATCGTGAAAAAACACGATGTGTTAGTCAGGGTACGACATTTTTACAGGTTCTTGAAGCCCTAGGTCTATGTAAAAAAAAAAAACATAATGCGAAGGCGAACCTCTCTCCCTGTGTTTGCGGCGCATACATCAGTATGTGTATGAGTGTTCGTGTCGGTGCTTGTGTTTCATAGGGTTCCCTTGGCGTGGGTTAAAGCGCAACCAAAGGCAAAACCGCATATTTTCTCGTGGATCACCCATCACGGTCCATCAGTGCGAGGCTTGCACCCGACCTCCCAGACACCCACAGTGCCGTCGGCGCTGGCGGTCAGGATCCGCTGGTCCGGGGACCAAGCAAGCCCACACCTGCGACAGGCTGCGCTCTTTACATAGCCCTCTCAAAGAAAGTTCGATTTGAATCCGCGTAAAGCTGGACAGTCAAAAATTCGGAGTCTAGCTCTATGCGGACAAACGTGGAATATAATTAGGCGCTGAGACGGCCAGGTTGTAAGCATGCTACAAGATTTGCATGCTCTTACAAGGGGATGTGGAAATTGACACTCATCACTCTCACCTCAGGCAGAATTTGCGCCTTGTCCCCTTTGGCACGGAGTTGACTCGGTCATTTCCCCTCAACTCAATTAAGAGTTGTTGGCCAATCTCGCTAAAGAACAAATCGAATTGCTGCAGCAAGTTTGACCATTCGTTGAGCTCGTTCAAATGTACGTCTGTTTCAGACCCAACGCGTTTTCAATTTCAAATGCGCTTTACATTTACTCAGGCGCCGTCCTTCTGTTGGTCGCGTGAAGCCTTATGTTTGTCACCTACACCACTCCTCGCCTGCGCGAAACGCGCGCCCTCCCACAAAGAACGCCTATGCAACACGAAGTTGACTCGATAGCTGCCTGCTTCACATTGTTCGCCCTAAAGCACTTGTGACAAGTCACGGTCGACGCGAATGCCTACGCACGATTACGCAAGTGTTTTTGAAACTGCGAGCGGTCAAATGCCTAAGATGCAAATGCTGTCAAGGAATGGGGCTTCTTCCCTGAAAACGCTGACTTTCTCTGGGCTATGGGCTACTGCCCCAACACCCTTCTTCACACTTGACATACACCCTGTTCCACTGGACCCCGCATGTAAGTAATGATAACAACGGCGAACAAAAGGGTGATCTCTACAGCTTCGCGACCAGACACCCGCCGAACTCTTGACGGCCAAACACTTGTTGAGCTGCTTCGATTGAGAAAGAGGTTGCAGCGATTACCAAAGCAATGAAGCTGACAATCCCAGGTGAGATCCGTCCGGCAAGGACATATTTGATGGGATAATAGTAATGGTCAAAACCGCAAAACTTGAAATGCAATAGTTGCATGTTGGAGAAAAACAACGCACACACACAAAAAGATAACAATGAGCACAAACTTGCTTGCCATGCAGGGCGACCCAGGGCATCAATCAGTCTCCTCTCTTTGCAACGCTCAGCACTGAGGTTCCTTCCGGCTGGCCCGATCCCAGCTTTTCAAAGGACAGACTGCTAGGGGAAATAAGCTTGAGAGTCCCTCCCGAACATGCAGAAACATTCAAGGGATTCCATGTCAACCTCCCCGCGCCTTCCATAGCGCAAATGTCCAGTTTGAAACATGCACCATGTCTTTCAATCTCCTCACAATAGGCTTGAAAGCAGATCCAACGCACAGTTGTCACTTTTCGAGGCTCCACATTGGCTTTAAATCGTTGCAGCAAGCGCCGCAAGAGCATAGGCAAAAACTTCCAACATCGACTGTAGTTCTGAAGTGAATATTCCAAGGCGCACGGCATCGCTGTGCCCCTCCAGTGTTGCCACCACCTGATCGTATGACTGCCCTGTGATGGGAAACCAAAGCAGTTTTTGCGCGAGTGTGTAAGTGTGCGTCTGCCGGGAACGTGGAGGAAAATCGTAATCCCTCAATTTCCCCACAGATGAAGAACGGCTTCAGCGAAGCTGTTGGGACCCAGTCCTGTGCTTCAGTTTTCATCTAAAAGTTCACCAGCATCATATTTCTGAGATCCGCACAAATATGAAATCACCCCCCTAGCTTGGTGCATAGTCTCTGTTCAGACTGGTCTTCAGCAGCCAAACTACTAAAAGGCGTGTCACCTGTGCACATTGTTGGAACAAAAGCAGAGACCAAGCCACTTCCAAGTTGGCCAAACACCAGGGAAATCTGCGAGTCCAATCGAGGAAACAACTACACCTGGACAAACAGGGCATCCCAGTCATCTCTATGGTGGGAAGGTCTCTATCGCAAGGGCCTGCGATGAGGGCCCTTCATGAGGCCTTAGACGGGAGCAATCTTAATGCTTTCTTAATGCCAAGACATCTTGCTGATTGATCTCGCCATGCTCTAAACGCTTCTGCTTTTCCCCCGCCCTCAAATTACACACTGGGGAGATTTGCTGCATGAAGGAGCTGCGCAAATGCCTCCCTAGCTTTTCCAATCAGATATACGCAAAAACCTCTTTCTCTCGGCAGCCCCTAACTACAAATGAACAGAACCAAAAACAACAACAAATAGCTTGCCAAGAACCGTGCAAAATACCATGCAAAACAGATTCTCTTTTTGAAGAACCCACTTTTGCTTTGTGTGTCATGCTTCCTCACGCGCCTGCCACTGCGCCGGGCTTCTGCTAGCCACCCGCCAGCCGCAGTGCGGAACCTTCCGAATCCATCCGCCGGGTTGGCGCGTTCCTCACGGGAACCCTGGAACCCCCTGTTTGGACCAAGAGGAAGCCAAGATAAAGGATGCGACAAAACCGTGGCTATATTGCTCGTTGCTGTCCGTAGATTTGGCTTCCCGGCTTCTCAGAGTCTCAGACCACTCTCGTGTCAAGTCTCCTGAGCTAAAAAAAACGTGCCATATCATTTTGCATCACAAAGCAACCAAAACAGAAATAACATCACAAAGCAACATCTCATCACATAACAGCGTGCCATATCATCATCACAGAAACTCTGCGACTTGAAATTGGAACCGTTTTGGGGTCGCTCGCTTTCCCGGGCCCCCACCTCTCGCTGCAAGCCACGGGCCCTGGCGGAGATGAGGCTAAGATGGTGGTCGCTCCAAACCAGTGGAAGAAAACACGGGCTTCTACCCAAGTGGCTCTACGGTGTATATCCAACTAAATCGCTAAAACAGACCAGCTTGATTTTGACCCGTGGGACGCATCAGTGCTGGCTGTTGAAGTATGGGTTCTGAGTAACATGCTCGTTACATCTGAATCTGCACTTCTGCAGAGAAAATGAAGCTTCTGCTGAGTGATCTTTTGCCATGTGTTGCGGTGGTGCACCAACGCAGCGAAACCCTCGGCAATCAACAGCAACGCACGTAGTCCACCTGCCAACCGCGCAAACACGTTTGTAAGCACGGGCGGAACTTGAAGCTGGGGTATGATTTGTTACGGCTTTCAAGTCGTACCTGCGGTGTTCCACCTATAGTGCTGGACAAATCAGCAGCTTTCGAAAAGTTTGTGTCTTCAATCCCTGATCAGGAAATCAATCCGGCAAAATTGCGCAAGAATGGACGGCGCTCCCCACGATGATCCGAGATAGGGTCTAGCTAGATGCAATGCCGACGGCAATGCAACTGATGGCGATCCGAAAACTGGTGCTCCTTGTGAAGCCCTGGCAATTGTCGCCACTTATAAAGGCGAAACATCGTAACAGCGTCTGACACATGCGTCACATGCTAAAACAATTGGCCCCCCCCCACCCCAGTACAGGCGTTTGGCACAGCACCGGTCAAAACAGTCTAAGCCAAACTGAGCAGCGCAGCACTCGTCCGCTTAGTTTGCAGCACAGAGCTACTCGTGATCGGCGTACGGCAACTAGTGCATGCAAACATGTAGCCTCCACACAGCCCGTACGGGACGTCGAACTTGTTGGCTCCAAACCGGCGCTCTGTCAGCTTGGAATTCGAAACTGTTCAAAACAAACACAGTCTGCGATGTACCTTGGGTCATCCAGTTCAATTAGCGACAATTGAGTGCAAGATGGTACCCTCGTATGATCTCTTATGATCTTGTTGCCTGGTCTGCAACGCTGGTTATTTGTGGTAACCAGTTCAACTTGCAAATCCCAACTTCAGGTGAATTGCCCATCAATAAGTCGGTCACTCAGGTGTCAAAAACGCAATGTTGTGGATCTTTCAACATCCGGGCATTTTCAAACATGTTCATTCGTGGATGCAACATGTTGTAGCTTTCATGATCCCTGCAAGGCTGGCAGTTGGGCAACAAAGCGGCAACGAGGCAGCTTTGAGGCCTGCGATGCCCCAACATTGAAGTCGGGAGCAACCGCACATAGCAACATCCACTCGACGAAAGAACATGCTGTCACATGATGACAACCTCAGGCTGGACGAGAACCCAAGCCTTATGACAAAACCATCGATGCAAGATGGGATCACCCTTCGTAGCCTTCGTGCTCATTGATCGACTCATACTTGATCATATTTGCCATAAAGAGTGGTCTTCTCTTTGTACTCTCTCTCTCTCTCTCTCTCTCTTCTCTTCTTTCTCTTTGTCATCTTTGTGTAATTGTTTTTCCTTTTGTTCTTTGTCATTCTGTTCTTTCTCTCTGCCTCTTTCTGCTGTTCCTCCGTTTTCTACCTATCTTGATTACCATCTACCAACCAACGAATCTGTCTGTCTGCCTGCCTGTCTGTCTGTGTCTGTGTGTCTGTCAGTTTGCCCGCCCGCCCGCCCGCCCGCCTGCCTGTCTGCCTGCCTGCCTGTCTGTCTGTCTGTCTGTCTGTCTGTCTGTCTATGCATCTATTTCGCAATCTCTCAATCTGCCTATCGACCTCTCTACCTCTCTACCCATATATCTATCTATCTATCCATCCATCTATCTATCTATTCATGCATCCATCTATCTATCTATCTAATGCATCACTGTATCTAGCTGTTTATTCAATTCCTCAAGCGGCAGAGGAAAAAAACAAAAACAAAACAAAAACAACATTTAGTAGCGCCCTCTTCTGTTGTTGAAGCGACTTTCGTTTTGTTGAGCTCATGCGTTCGCAACCGGCACTTTTAAGACATACCTATTCCCCCACCACACGTGCACGTGTTTCTTTCGTGCCTGTCGGAGAGCTACCCTTTAAACTATCTGTGCACTTCCATGCTTGTTGGTGGGAAGGTGTATTCCACCACTTTACATGGCACGTCAACGATACGGGGCCCGCAACCCCTGGCGTGCACCGGCCTGTCTGGCACGGAGTTCCGCCAGCACAACAGCTCTCCTTCTGCCAGTCTCAGCAGCCAAATCCATAGGACACGCCGCATCTCCGACAAAAGTGACAGAATCCTATCTCCACTTTTTGACTTCATGTCAAAAGAAGTTGTAATTGACATGTATACATATCCCACGCGCAACATCAAGTCGCAAGTTATGCATGAGCTAAGCTCGCAGAGCAATGGTTCTTTTGTACTTGCTTTTCAGTCGGCTGTCTAAATACAACGTGTCTGACAAACGGAACCGAAATGAAAGGGCCCCTTGTACGTAGTGATCGACAAATGATATCCACAACTAGTCTTCTTGAATGATGCATGCTGGCGAGGGCAAACTGTTAGGAACTGAGAAAACATGGACCGTCATTTTCCGCATGTTCTCTTGTGCTTGGTGGCTCAGTTTTCTACATGGCATGTAACAATCTTGGCGTAGATAGGGGATGAAACAAAGGGGGCCTCTGCTCAGCCTGCCCCATGCTTCAGCTAGCCAAATGGCAAAGGCGGCATCAGCATTGGCATCGCTGCACACGAACCTCACGCTTCATCTGGAGACCCTGCCACCAATTCGCACGGAGCCTGTCAGCCTGACAGGGGCTGCCTTTAAAAGGAACATGGCCCAAACCAGGAACCCCTTGTCAGGATCCTGTTTATTGGTGAGGGTAATGTTGGACCCTCTTTAATGCTACCCCCCCCCCCCTGAACAATGGAACCAATCAGCGGGACCCTCTTTAGGGAAAATCTGGGGGTCTGGGTGGGACTTTCATTTAGTATTGGTAGACTTGGGTGTTAAGATTTGGAACTGAGTTTCCATTTGATTTAGTATTGCTGGAGCTTCCTTTAGATTTGGAACTGAGTTTCCAATTGATTTAGTATTGCTGGAGCTTCCTTTAGATTTGGAACTGAGTTTCAAATTGATTTAGTATTGCTGGAGCTTCCTTTTGAGATTTGGAACTGAGTTTCAAATTGATTTAGTATTGGAAGAGCTTCCTGTTGAGATTTGCTCCCAACACCAGTTGAACACTAAAGAGGACCCCAAAACAATCACACTAAAGATGATCAGGGTTGGTTGTGGGCAACCCCCTTTGTGTGATTGATTCACCTTGCTTTTGTGTAAAGAAGTTATCATAAATTTGATGGTTTGGGCACAACTTGCAAAATGGATTTCCTAGACCTCAGGCAGCCTCCCGCTCAACAGCAGCTAAGGCTTAGTCTAGCCTGAGCCCGACCTGAGCCTGCCCAGACCAGAGAGTTTAAAACAAACAAGCCTGTACCTTTTTTTTGACTTTTTTTTGTGGAGGGGGAAACAATGCCACAATAGCGGACCCCTAAAACAGTCACAGGATCCTGAATTACGAAAAACAAATACACAATAGAGGACCCTATCATTAAAGGAGGTGTAACATTAGGCTTCAGTCCCACTTTGGCGTGCAGGAGCGAACACCCTTTGGCGTTCAGGCCACCTAGTCTCCCTTCACAATCCACCCAGAAATAAAAGGCCAACCTTTTGGAGCCATGAAAAGAGGACCGAAAAGGGAAAAACGAAAGGTCAAAAGGTCAAAAGGTTGGCTTTGGACATCTGAGCCAACACTTGGCTGCAATTGCACATTTTGGTTTGTCTCTCCTGACGAATCACTGACTGATACAATTGACGTGTGCTTGGCCTTAAATTGGGCGTGTTTGGCCATAAACAGGAAGATCATTGATTGACCTCAACTTGCTCAGCAGTGCATTTGCAACGCCTACTGACATATATCCATCAAGGGCCTTCCTGCTTGCTTCTTAGCAACGGAACATTCATACATACTCTTTTGCCTGAGTGACTCGCAGTTGACAGACTGCGAATTACTTACGTTGTCCTCTTGATTATCTTGAAATCCACTGTGAGTGTTTGGCCAGGGTAGATGGGTACAAGTTTATTCTGCTCGTACCTATTCCGGCTTTGCAGGCACGTGTCAAGTACCGTCCATAGATGCTTCACCTGGTCACCTTCGTCTTGACCCCAGCAATCCGAATATCCTATCAAACAACATCTCCTCATGGGAAGGCTTCAGCCCAACCCCAGACTCCGAATGCGCAGCCTCGATCGGAGTCCGGCTCTCCCGGTTCCGCAGCGAGAGGTTTGCCTTTGCAAGTACCTGGGCAAAAACTGGAACTGCACGTGCGGCACCGGCAACATATCGCAAGCGATGGGGTGTCCTTTTACAAAAGATGGCACTGGTAGATGATTAGAAACAAAGTGAAACCATCTATTCCCAACTAAACTGAAATTGAAAATCCTTGAAAGGACACCAGGAATGCACGGACATCCTTGCAGAGTTTCTGCTTCACCAGGCAAACATCTTCGTGGCACTCGTCCAAAGATACTTAACTGTAACACTGTACCATCAGGCCGCCCTGGACATCCACTCTGCACATGACCTCACCGTGACGGTCCTCCAATAGAGAGCTTAGAATAAGTTGGCACCCGATGCTTTTTTCAGGACGTCTACTTTAGACCCTCCAAACCAAAAAAGGGGACAGACAGGCAATAGTGTGGGGGCCTAGTCACTGTGACGACGAAGAGTGCCCTTCGAAGAAATCCGTTGATCATTGGCTCTCTCACCAAGAATCATCTGAAAAAGCAAGTAACATTGCACAATGTGCCAAGCTTGTGCATCAAGCATCAAACCGTGTCTGCACAGACATGTACTGTATAGATGCGTGTACACGGAAAACAGCCCAATGCATGTGGGCAATTCTGTGGCTAGTAGCTAGTCAAACCCAGTTGAACCACCGGTTAAAACAAACTACTGCAACATGACTCATACAGTGCTACCACTCTTGGCTTCTTGCCCATCTCGTGTTAGTATTTGCAACCTATCAAGTACCGTAGCATTCCCAGTCTACAATCAACACCCATCAACCTGGAGTTGCCGTACATAATCCAAAGGTCCCCCAAACACACCCCAGCAAAACACACCTCCACCTCCAAAAAATTGTCTATGTGTGTCTTTCCCAAGGGAGTGGGTGTTTGGGGGTTCCCCTTCAAAGAGGTGCGCTGTGAAAAGGCATTACAGGTTTCTCTGTTGACCTGTTGACAAAACAACTGGTTGGTCGCTTGCAAGAGGTTGGCGGGTTGAGCAGAGTCATAGACATACGGACAAGCCTGCACTTCACAGTATCTGCAAGGCATAGGTAGCTACTCTGCTTAAACTAATGATGCCAAAGCATCGGCATAGCATAACATTCGAACTGTTTTGAATCTCGCTCGGTCTATGGGTCAATGTCTGATTGTACCCGAGTCGCACCGGCAACGGCATAACAGGGGTCCTTGCATTATACACCTGAACATTGCCTTGTGAATGGTGGTTTCCCTTTATTTCGGTGGAAAAAGCCATGTTTCAAATGGTTGCAAAATGTATCTTTTAAGGAGCCCTGCATAGCTTTGCGGGTTAAGACGTTCGATCGCCGCCGGCGTTCGGCGGGGAGCACCAGCCACTGAAGAGGCTCTGCAAGTCCCAGCGCCGCCGCCTATCGGAGGTCGCTCAGATGAGTATTTCCAGCTGACTTGAATCTCACAGCGCATTCTGCCTGGGTCGGGTGTTTACACTGCAGAATCATGAACATGCCAACATGCGCCAAATTTGTACAAGCAATTATGCTCCTTTGATCTTGGTCCGGCCGATGTTATAGCACCCGTGAAGCTTCCTACTTGAAAGGTAGAACACAGACAAGAGGCAAGCTTCAGGGCTCGCCACACTCTTCGCATGCATCGAATAGTTGAGCCCGGGTAATGGCACCATCATCATCATCATCATCATCATCATCATCACCATCTTCATCATCATCATCAGCAGCACACAAGCCAATCAATCACCATATTGCGGTGAGCAGATGCAGCGGGAACATGTCAAGCGCACACTTGAGGAAGAGCGCTTGCTCTTCATGTGGACGGCACATCACACAATGCTCCAGCAAACATAATTTTGAGGAAAATTTTGCACCTAGTCTTAGTACTATAGTGGTTGCTCTGAACCAATTGGATCAGCTGGAGCATGTGCAGTGGGAACTGATCCTATTGACGATAAGCACATTAGATGCATCTAGCAAACATTTTGCTCCATTGGCCCGGTGCCCAGGACAACATTTCACCTCATCCAGGTCCTCTCCCCTTTTTCTGTACTCTATTTTAGTAGGGGAACCCCTTCCTCCCCCAGTCACGATATAGAGGCTGGAGAGGCTTGCTGGCGCTTGAAAGTTGCGTGCTCTCGGCTGCCAGCCTCGTGCATCGCTGTATCGCCCATGTTGTTCTGGTAGTCTGGGTGTGCTTTGGACTCCAGAAGCAACCTCAGGAGCCGCTTTTTGGCCAGAGGAAATAGTATGCACGGTGATACTGGGCTGTCTGTTGTCTGAGCCCCCGCGAAAAGTGGCTAACTGCTAAACTCTTAGTAGGTTATACATGGAAATCCTTTCAGAACCCCCCGCGAAAAGCGGCGAACTGTTAAACTGTTTGTGGGTTAAATGGACATCCCCACTAAAAGAAAAGCTAAAAATGTAGGGGATGGCTGGGAACCAAGGATAGTTTGCTCAAGGATCTGGGTGCAGTAATTCGTGGGGCTAGCTGAGTGAGTGTCTCGTCTCACCCGTGCAGTCAAAGCATGGACGTATGTCGGCCGAAAGCTTGCCCAATGCCCTCCAAAAGCAATGAAGAATCAGTGTTATCTTCTCAAGTTCTGGGGGTGTGAAATTGTGAACAAGGACTGGCAATTGTGAAAAAGGACTGTATCAGGAAATTGCAACGAACCGCACAAACAATCGGCAACACCTAGATTAATCCGTTCTGCAAAAGCTGGCACATGCGCAACAAAACACAGGCCTGACTTCAATTACTACATATACATCTCCAAATGTCGAACGTATAGTCTGCAAACTCGGTAACCTCCAGCAGGCTGTCACACAATATGCGTGTTTGTGTTCTAAAGCAGAAATGTACAAGGTGAGATAGGTCGCCATCCATTCCCTATGACGCATTTGCCAACGTATCTGTCCAACAAAGGGGCCCCTTTGCACACTGATATTTTCCTTTTCCAGTTCAATGGCATGATTTCCGAATCGGCCATCTTTGGATTGACTCCAAAGCGAGCAATCTTTCTTGAGGGATGCCCCCTGGTGGTCATGCCTCTCATATTCATGTTCACTTCTCTCAATCCAAGCTACCCTCCTTCCCACTAACATGGCAACTGACAGGAGGTCCCGTCAAAAGCAAATTCATCTTCCAGGTACCTCCCAACAGGTGCCATGTTAGTTGGAGGAAGGGTACGTCTAATTCAACAATGTTCTACACTTGTCAGGGAAGCGCTAAACAAACAAGCAACCGCTTTGAGACTCTGAACCCACTGCTTGCGTGTGAGACCATGATCTCCGCATCTGCAAGTGCAAATTCTGAGTCAACAAAAAGACATGACGCGACGAGGTATGTGACCTGCTGGTAGCAAATCATCAGATTTCACAAGTTATTGACAAGGGCCTATCTTGGTCTTGAGACTTCCAACACTCTCAGAGCACTTCTGCTAAGCCTCGACGCATACAGTTGCTGCAGTATACAAGATCAGCTGAGTCACAATCAAATCCCGGTACTAAAATGTCTGACCCAGAGCCATGACTATTTATGGCTGGGAGTGTCCCTTACTAACCTTCATCTACCCGGGTTTTGATTGTGGCACAGCTGCAAAGAGAATTCGACTCAGCACGGGTTCGCGCCAGTGCCTCACGATAGGAGCGTGCCCGTACCGTGCTGCCCAGTGTAGAGGAGTAGAGCCTGGCCCGGTCAAAGCCCTGGCCAAGCACGCCCAACGAAAACGCTCCATCCATCCCGGCAGGCTTCACCGTAAAACAACATCCATGGCAAGGTGCTAACCTGTCCGAATTTCAATATGCTTGATGACTGCCTGATGAAATCAGTGTGGTATCCAAAACCAACACAATTTTCGAGGCAACAGGGCACACGCACACACAGTGTAGTGTTGCAGGCAAGGTACCGCAAGCAATCCAGGGACTCTGAGAAACCCTCGTTCCAGGCAGAAAGTAACGTCCGCGTGAGATACCACGTGGGCGTGCCAGTCTACACAAGTGATCTAGCCGTTCCAGTAGCTTGTGTAGCAACATGAAACAACTTCATCTGGTGTTATCAACTAATCCGGAACAAAAGCACGATTCTATAGGCACGTGGGCATGGTCCTAAGCATCCCGGCAGGTCCATGTTGTTTGTTTCATTTTTGTTAATTTTGGAGACAAGACCGATGTGGGGGTTGATCAAGATTCCGTTCGGCCCCAAAATGACCATTGGTAACTTTTCCCATGTGGTGCAAGTCAAATCTTTGGTGGTTTCCCCAATGGTTTGCCCATGCAAAGGACCTCTTGATCAACCCCCATGTAGCTGGAAGAGCTGGCTTTGGACGCGCACCTGAACGGTCCGCCAAGTCAACGCTGGCGCCGTGCTGTAGCAAGTAGTGCACGGCCTGCCGGGCGCCAGTCACTTGTGCAGACTGTAGCCTGGAGGCCTGGTGATGTCCTTAAGCACACTTTCAGGGGTCGGTCAACACGCGGGAGAGAAAGTCACAACAAACAAAACCTCGGATGATTGAGTTTGATCAGTTTGCATGCCATGGCGACAGGGAACCATCCATACAAACTTGCTGCGAGCTGGGCAAACTAAACTTGATCCATGCGATTTCTCACAACTTGTCTGGAAATCCGATTTCAAATGCGACGGCTCTCCAGGCATCCCGGGCGAATCCCGGGCGCACACGGATAGCAGGAACTGGTGGCCATCAAACTGACAAACTGATTGCGATCTGGAGAAGCCCCCAAACAAAACGCGGTGTGCGCTTAAGACTTGCTTTTGCCCAACCAACGAAACCGCATTTCTGCACGTTAAGCGGCTTGACCGACCCAGGCAAACGTACCAAATCACAACCTGTCCCTGCACCACGTGACCGCCAATGTTACTCATCACATATTTCACAAATCTTCCTCATACACATCACATGCGGCAGCCAGAATGAGCCATGAATGATCGCAACACATAGCTAGCTTTCTTGGTGCTTGTGAGTTGTTCTAGTCATCTGCGAAACCTGGTTGCAGTGCCCCGCACAGGGGCCGAACTCCAATTTCGGAACAACGCATCGAGCTCCACAAGGGCAATCAACTCCACGGAACGATAACCTAAAGCTTCTGGATGCAAGCAAAAGCCCCCGCCCAAACAAAAGCGCTCCTTGTGTCATGGTCAAAAACAAATTCTCCATTTGCCCGTCAACACCTGGGCTGCAGTTACAACTGCCCGCCAATTTGGCATCGAGCCTCCACAACGCACTCACTCTTGCTATTGCAATGGCAAGTCACTCAATTTAGATATTGGGCGTAAATGGCACTAGTCGGACATGCGATGGGCTCTGCAGAGGTCGATGTCGGACTGTTAGCAAACCAAGCGGCTCAGCTCCGCGTATGGCCACTGGCGGCAACAAGGCGTGATTTGTGATTTGCGCTGGCTGCTGGTGCTGCGAACACGCGTTTTACTTCATTCCAACCACCTCGCAGCGTATACATGGGACTAGCCTCCATGTTGAAGCACGTACTGCGTTGCTCAGCTGACTACCCTCCCTAAATCTTGAGCATCTGCAACTCGTGTCTGCAACAGATCCGTGTCAACTTGCCATTGATCGCTCCGGCTTGCGCAGCCGCACTGCTCTCCTCGGAACCTGCTGAAAGGCAACCGGCTCACGGCAAAGCCAACCGGCTCACGGCCCCGGAGACCATCACTCTGGAGCACCTCCGGGTTGAACAGATTAGCTAGGGCAGCTCACCAGCTGGTAGGTGGCTGAGCCCAAGCCTGGCCAAAACTCCGCTTACGCGCTTTGCAGGCAACACACGCCCATCACAGTCCCAAAGCTATGAGCCAGGGTACAGGTTGTGTCCGCAGAGCCCGCGCCATGCAAGCCGAAAGCACCACCGGCGCACGGCTTCCATCAAGTTCAAAGCACATCTTTCCGATCAGAATCGAAACCTGGAGCAATGGAAAAACTGCACACTGCACGTCTCGCGCATACGAACTGTAAATTGCACGAGCTTGTCCAAGACCGTCTCCATGAAAACCCGCCTGCTGCTAAACTCCCTAGCCAAGGTTGGTCAAAACTCCTTGTACGGGCCATGGTCATCGGTCGCTGTCGCGTGACTGAGTTAGCGGGCACTTAATTGGCCCAAACGGATCGAAGCATGATGAGGTGAGACAACTACCCCGACACCCTCTCAAGAAGCGCATGCAACTGTTCCAAAATAACGTCGCGTTGCCCAATGGAGTCCAAAACAATATATGTGTCTGCAGATCCTTGGAAGCAAAGACACTGCATTTAGAATGTTGGAGAGGCAGAAGAAGACGTTTTCCGCAGCTGAACCCGCAGAGGGAACAGATAGGCACGTTAAGGTGCCAGAGTGGCCGCCAAGCGTGTGCGAAGCATACAGTGGTATCACGTCGATTGACCCAAGCCTGTCTTATAAAACTCCATCTTGCAATGGCACCGCGGAACTGGACAGCAGAAACGCAATCAGAGTACCGTAGGGCTGTGAGGGTCAAGGATTATATCATTTTGAGGTGCAAAGCAAAAGGGGTGCCGGCGGGCAAGAACAGCGGGCGCTTGAGTCTTGCAACGCAGTCTTTTCTGAAGCGTAAAGGCGTTGAAAAAAGGAATATTGCGCCAATCAGCAATACGTTGCACAACATCTTCAAAAGTGACATATATTTTGCTGGGGCGCTTGCCGCTTGAAATATGCTCGTCGTTGATATTGCAAAGATACAAGAAAGCGGCTGGCAGAACGTTGTTCATCACCAGGCGCCAGCCTTTTCGCATACTCCCAACAGCAGGAAAACCATTGAGAACTTTAACAAGAGTGGGCTCGCCATGCAAAAGACCCTTGTCGAAGTCTTGAAAGTGTAACATTGTGAGTTTTTTTTCCCAGAGCACTCGAAACTTTCAGGTGATCTCCTTGAAGGTATTCTTGAGGGCCCTGGCATTGTCCATGAAGGGAGTATCAGTGCCACAAATAAGAATGCAGAAAAGAACAAGTTCCATCCAAGTGGGTTCACGACCACGATAGGAAGCCTTATCATGTCTAAATCCGCCAGTGACGAGTCGGTATTTTAACCATGGCACACATGCAGCCCTCATACAGGAGATCATCCGAGCGGCTGACACAACCGGACGAGTCCGAAAGACTCGTCTCCATGAAGCCATGAAAGCTAAGACATAAGGCTACACCAACACTCCATGCCTGTGAGGAGCCGCCGGCGCAGTTGTAGTGAAGGGCTGTGCGACCCTTGCTATCCACCTGGGGCAACAGGACAAGCAGGCAGCACCCCAACTGCCACGCTGCATTTGCTTCAGCCAAACTTCAAGCCTCATTGGAGGCAGTCCAAAACGCTTCAGCGATTCTTGCCAAGTGCCTGCACACCTCGTGAGGTAGCTTTGGCTTTGTAACCTGGCCTGCATGCTCAAAGTCAAAAGCCCTTATTTCATCCGACTGTTGGTGGGTACGGCAAACCAACATGGGAAAGCACACTGAAGGTGGAGTCAACCTTTGATACCTCCCTCGTTTACAGTGCTGCTCAAAATACAGAAGAAACCGACGATTCAACAACAGCCATGGTTGCAATTGGCTCTTCTATGCACTGTCTTCCAGAAAATGAATGGTGCCTGTGTACTTTCTGTTGAAACTCTTGACCCGGCAGCTATTGAAAGACATTAGATAGACCCAGCTAGATGCAATCGCATTCGAGCAATATGGCAACGTACAATGAATTGGCCAAAGAAGAGGCATGTTTAGGCAGCTCAACACCAGAAAAACCAGTTGCCGAAGCCTTGCCAACAATAAAATGAACTTCACATTACGAACGATGCTTGAAGGCCTCCAGTTTTTCTCCAAAGACACTGAGCAGCCTCATTGTGTCTCCCAAATCTGAGCTCCCGAGCTGCATCGAGGAACCCCCCAACTTCTGTGTAGAGTTGAAGAAAGAAGAGATTCCCATCGAGCGCGGCCTGTCGTCATCGCAAAGCGACTGCTCGGCGCCCCGGGGCTCAAGGGCTGCCTCGCATTGCGTTCTACATTTTGCATTCCCAGCACTTGGCAGTTGCCAGTCCCAGCATTGCTACACCCAAACTTTTTCTGTCAAATTCACGGGAGCTCTTGTTGTCAACCCCAATGTCATCCTTTATGATAGACTCTGATAATAGGCATTCTTGCAAGGGATCAACGTAGCAAGCTGCAAATATGCTAATGTAAGATTAAGCTTCACCATGACCGTGAAAAACAAGCAATAAGTGAAGCGTCTGGAGCTAACGCAGCATACATATCCATGCATCAATCGTCGCACTGACTCCTGCAGGCTTGCAACCAACAAAGTTAAACTGGGGCTGCCCTCAGATCCGCCGCTAAAAGCTTAACTTTTAGTGGGTTAAATGGACATCCCCACTAAACACTAAATGGCAAAAAAGCTAAGGGGATGGCTGGGAGCCACCAAGTAAACATGCTTGCGCCAACCATGATGCACGCCTAGATGCCAGCCCTGAGCCACGTTCGAAACTTGCCGCCTGTCCGGTGTATCCCAGCCTCGCCTGAAAGAGGTTGGTGGTCCTCCGTGGGTCCTCACGAGCGCGCACAAGCGTGCAAGTAGTGCTAGCGCTCAGCCCGTGGTGCCAAACCGAATAAATACCCCAGCGCCAAAAAATAAAAGACGATACTGCACCAACCCAAGTCGAAACCAGTGCAAATCCAAACAATAGCTTGGATGTCTGCTGTTTTGAGCGATTTTCGAGCCTGGAAAGGGGGCTTGGACGAGGACCCTAGCGGAACCACCAGGGACGGAAATGGACCCTATTAATTCATATTGCGTTTACTGGAGTTTGGGCAGGCAGGAAACTGGTTCGTTTAGAGTAGGTTTGTCTTTGCTAAGTCTAATGTAGTATTGGGAGATTTGGAGTTTGGACAATTCATAGGGTGCATTTGTTATTGCGGGAACGGATAGCCGCCTGTGGCAAGCAAATCGTTACGTTTCCTCCAGTACGATAGCTTGACTAGCTACGAGCACTTAAGAGGTTGGAAATGAAAGTACACAAGTTATGACAAAAGCAAATAAGTAACTTAGCTGTGAGATCACAGGTAGCAATAAGACGCATGGTGATTGTTTGGTCAGACTTTCTAGTGCATAAACACCATCCTTGATGCACGCCCTTTCACAAGCTGTGCCTTTCCTCATACCTCTTGCTCTTTTCCTGGATTGCAGCTGGAATGCCAGGAGTCATACCAACACTAAAGTCCGCATCACTGGCAGTTGACCTGGGAAACCTCAAACTTGCAATTGCCAGCTGGAGGTGAGGCATTCCTGGTTCGGGTCAAGCCCTGACCAAGACAGGAGGTACTTACCATGAGAAATCCGCTTTTCTCTTTTGAGATTTCGCCTGGAACAATGTGGCTGAGGGCCAACAAGCAAGAATGGGCTTGGACACTTTCAAAAAGAAATAGGTTATGATCACAAGATAATATGGCCATGGCCCAAGTGAACATCCCAACCCCCACTAAAATAGACTAAAATGGGTGGTGCACCTTCCCCAAAATGGCATACCATTGGTTTTGACCCACAGCCATATACCAAATCAAGTCATGATCGCAAGAGGGGAATGCTGAACCTACCTGCGGAAGATGAAGTTGTGCGGCCAGGCCTTCCACGAGGAGACTCCCAGCTTCTCGTTTCGCCAGTACCTTTCGCCGGCCTCCCCCATCCAACTGTGGGGAAGGTCCAGACAAAAATCATAAGTCCAGAAAAGGTTTGTAAGAGGACGGCCGATTGCCACCAGTGAACAAATATTATTGCATGCTCTGCATGCTCTTGCTTGCATTCGCCTGAACTACTGCAACATACTGTGGTGTACCTTGCCAAATCATGTTTGCTTCGCTTTCAAAAAGAATAGCTGCCAGTCGTCTCAGGAAGCATTTTGTTCGGACAAACTGAGTTTAGGCTCGGTGCGGAAGCCTATGATTTGGCTGTGGGTCAAAAATCAGTACCCCAAACGGAACCCTGGTAAGTGGGAACATGGACCAAAACCTGCGGTCCCTGGTGGTTTAATTTTGACCGATACCCATTTGGCAAGTGGCCTCATCACAATGTCTAACCGAGAACATGCGGTGAACAACCACAGCATGTCTGGGCTCGTCACGCCTTGGCTTTCTGAGATTCAAGCAGCCGGTCCGAGCAGAACCCTTGTGCATGCAAGGCACCGGGCAAGAAGGTGTGTAAAACTTTCAGCACCCAACTCCCTGAATCGGAAGCGTCTATGTCAACTACCTTTTCCAACTCTGCGTTCACCCTTGCCAATGCGGCAAAAGAAGTCCAAACATGCATGAAGGCTGACAAAGTGATCGGGAAGCTGACAACTTCTGCATCAGAATGGCTGGCCAAACAATGCGTCACCGGGCCAGCAAGGCTTTGTTGATTCCTGCAGGGTACTGGCAGCCTCTCACAAGTGCTTCTTTATATAGAGCAAACCATGTTGCACAACACGTAAGCTAAAGAAATCACATTTGGGTTTGTACAGCGAACCCTTGCATCCTGTAGTGCCCGTGTGCTGCGGTGTGTTGCTGTTCCATCTTGGTGTCAGTGAAACATATCAAACATCCGCAATGCGGCATAACAATCTGGGGTAATTCGCGAAGTCCCACCCGGCTGCTTCAGCGCACCGCTTGCCCTCCTCCTCTACCTGACAAGCCAGTTGGCCCCATGATCTCGACACTATGGAAGTCACCCGACATTGTAGGTTAATTTGTTAAAGGGTTTCTGACTTTGATAACCCCCCAACAAAAGTCAAAATCATGATCCCAGTGGCATGATATCAAGTAGCTGCTTACTCTGGTCTCTGAGGTCTTAGATCGCAGGTCTAATCCAGTTTGGCACTGGCTACGCAGGTGGACTTTTGGATGGGAAGCCAACCAACGCTAGAACGTGTTTGGAGAACAGCCGCAGCTTGCCGCAGCTTGCATATATAAATCTAGGTGTGGGAATCAACATCAAGTACCACTAAGATGTGCTGTACAAGGGGATGATATGATAGAGGCTTGCTCCAACCGTGATTCCCCAGTGCCAATATTGGACTTCCACAGATGAACATACCGAGTGATCGAAATAAGCAGCCCCGCAGGGTTTGTAACCACTGTGCGAAATGATGTGTTCCTTTCAGGAGCACACAAACACACCAAACATAGCGTAACAATCCTAGCCAATAACACATGCCGAATTGCAGCATGGCATTTGACCTGTGTCCTCGCTAAGCTATGTCATAGCCTTTCAGCTTGCCTAGGCCGGCAAATTCGTGTATATGCGCGTACAGGCTCGAGAACCAATAAAGGGCAAACCTGTGAGATCTTGTGAGGACCACAACATGGCAAAGCCACTCCATTTTGCTTGTCTAGCATTAGTTCTTTCAACCTGCGAGCCGCCAACTCACATGTAGTTATTTTCCCAGCCTCTACGGGCTCTCTCAAAGATCTGTCTTCATAGCTCTTGACTACAGCAACAGCCCAAAAAAAACACGCTTCATTTGGAGCACAAGTCTTCAAGTTTTTCCCCGGCAGGAAGCGGGCCCGGTTGCTTGCCCAAGAAACCCTCGAGAATCCGAGCCTGTGTCCACCTGTCGGGTGCCGAACCATGCCATGTCCGTGCACCATAACCTGATGGGTGCCTCATTTAGATCCTCCAGTAGAGAGGTTAGAATAAGGGTACCCTTTTTTCTATTGCAATTTTTAGTAGGAACCCTCCGCAAAAAAAAGGGGGTAAAAGAGCACTACTGGTGGACCTAGTCATGTAATGTTGACCCCATATTAATCAACCCCAGTTTATTAATAGGGGGTGGGGGCCCCTCCCAAAGTGATGATTCCCTACTAACCCCAGGGACACCCCCTATTCATAAACTGGGTTGATGAATATGGGGTTGCCATTGAGGCACTCATTCGGGTTGAGCTCAAGCTGATTCAGAACACAGAGTGGTGTGGGCCCGCTGTGGCTGAGTTGAATACTCATTTGAGCGCTCTTGCCAAGCCGCATGGGGCATTAGTGTGCAAGCAGGCGAAAATGCACGAGGAAATGAAACTATCGCAGAAAGCAAGCCCGAATCCCTGACAAGCACGGCCCGCAGCAAACAATGGAACTAGAAACATCTGTAAAGTAGGTCCGTAGGTCAGCTGCTCACCTCTAAAGTGCAACTTCCAAGCCAGTAGAAGAGTTCAGTTTAAGCAACAAGCTTGACTTGACTTGAAGCCCGGAACAGTTTGCGGGGTAGCATTCTGTTTCAGCAAACTCCTATCTACATGGCTATCCTCTAAAGGGCAAGTAGACATCCGGATGTGTTCCACAGAAGTCTAATATGTTTGCAGATTGCGGCGCAAACAAAGGCTTATTAAAGGCCAATGTGATCAAACAAACTTTGGGTAGCTGGAAACTCGTCAAACTCCAATCCCTGTCCGTGGAGTTGGATCAATCTGATATCTGGCATCGGATCATATCGGATCCCTGGGCTGGCCAACGAAGTGGCAGGCTTACTCCGAGCAATCTACAACTGCAACGGCTCATCACTGCTGGTGGAGCTGTGATCGTTTGCCAGGCTACCGTGCAAAGCTTCCCCCTTGTCAGGCACTGTTTCATGCACATGCGATCACACCAAGTCGCAGGCAAACCATGGAATTGATGGATCATCCCGTTCGTCAAATCGGGTTTCTGGCCTCCCAGCCATGTCTGACTGAGCACCAAAGTCACAATGGCAAATACATACCCTGAACCAAGTGGCAGTATGTTTGATTCTGGTCCGTAACACATAGTGAACCTTCTACAAAATGTCAAAGCAAGACCTCAAAGTGGCAGTTCCCTTTCAGTAGACTCAGCCTCACCAAACATGGCGGCAGTGCTCTCCAAGAACTGGCGCCAACTCCCGAGGCATCTGCCTGAGACTCAGCGACTAGTCCAGGTAACGAGGATATTTGTGCTCCTATAAATAAACAGGAAGACAACACATGCATCACTACACACATGCGTACGCAAACACAAACACAACAAAAAACGCAGCAGCATCACCCAAAAGGTCTACCGGAAGCTGAGACCTGAAACTAGATGTTGGCAGACACATCATAACTTGTCCTAAAACCACCTGCACCACGCAAACACACGGTGCATCTCATCACGCTTCTCAAGAAGCTGACAGCTCCTTCCATTTGCTTAAGTCCCCTGGGAAAATTAACAACATGTTTCCAGTACTGATAGATTCCCTTTAAAACCAACAGGGGAACAATATTTGTATTTTTGTTTTTTAAGCAAATGGAAGGCTCTGAAACCCCTGCAGCCGGCCGTGTTTTGCCCCGCAGCCGGCTCGTCCTCTTCGTTCTCTCACTCCTTCATGGCAGCAGATCGCTTCGCCCGCGCCTCAGCCAGCCCGTTCCTGCTCCCCCGTTGGTAGTTGTGGAGAAGCGGATTCTAATTGCCCTGTAGGTGTCATTGAGTGACGAAGGCCCTTTCAATCCGATGACTCTCTTTCAAAATTGAAAGAGTCGTATTTCTGCATGCATGTAAGGGTTGTAGAGCCGAACTTTAGATTTCCGCTGCTGGAAAGCTGGCGAGTGCTAAGGAAGCTAAACTCCCCGGCAATGACAAAGGACATCGACCCCCATCTTCATTCCTATATGCTTAAACACCTGGATCAATTGGAAAAGAGCAATAGCACAAGTGCTAGAAGTGCCATCAAACAAACAATCCCGGTCGTCTCAGCCAGGAAGACAGTTGCATGCATCGGTTTCGGAACTCCATAGAGACTCATCCCACAGTCTGTAGAACTCCAATCATGAGGGCCTTGCTGCAAAGTGGAGCCTACCACGGCCTCCGGACGCGACAATCCCATCCGAAGCCTTTGCTGAGAACCCTGGGCGGCCTGAAAAGGCCAGCAAACAATTGCCACGGGCGTAGCGTCTTCGTGTCCGAGGCGCCTCCTCTTTCTTGGTCAGGGTTGCCTCCTAGGCCGGGCGAAGGATGCCGCGGGGCACAACTGGTTGGTGTTGTGGAGGTTTCCGGTGCTGTCGTTGCTCATCTGCTAGAAATGATGAAAGAAAACCATGACGCATTCAAAAACGGGGCGTTTAATGTCCAAACCAGCTCATTGATGCTACCTCTATCTAGAGTCTGCAAGGCATAGTGTAGCAATAACCTGGACCTGGTCAATCACCTCATTTGGCGCCATGACATCTCAGGAATATGCAAGGCAACTAGAATTGACCCAATAATTCAAGTGAGCTTGAATTGAAAGGATGATAACCTGTGTCTTCCATAGGTGGCTTCAACGCGCCCATCGCCTGCAGCAAGAGGAACTTCATGCTCTCGGTGACACGCTGGCGTTTGCCGATGGACCTCAGTTCTTGACAGTCTCGAGTTGATGGAATCTTATCCGTTCGCGCACACACGTGGTGGGATCCCCCACAAGACAATGATGTAACAGGATTCTAGAAAACGGTTTGGATGCGCTGTTTGTGGATCCCGCCTGTTCTTCCCTCTCGAGGTTCTTTCTTGGTACTCTTTTAGTAGTCTTTTGATATCCTACAGGGGTGGATCCACAAAAACCGCATCCAAATAGTTTCCTAGACGTATGTGCCGATAGTTGCCAATAGCTTCCAAGCTTGCATATGCACACACAATAGCTGCTCATGGCAGCTATTTGTAGCAGTCTGAGTCGTGAAATCCCTGGAAACAACAATGATCAAACTGCCAAACTGGTGCAAACTGGGTGTGTGAACAGTCAGACAGTCAGACTGTTGCAAGAATCATAATTTCCAGGCTCCTCATTTCAAGTAGCTAATAGCTGGCTACAGAAGGCTTCTAGGCAACCCATCCTGAGATTTGCTACAAACCATCAGGTTCATCAGGTACTTCTCTTGTCTTTGACATATTACCAGAGGATGGACGGCTCCTACCGTTCGGCCCTTTTGGGAGACAAAAGCCATTATTGCAAGGTGAATCCTGTCCACGCATGATCAGCATGGTGCAACATGAATTAACCTGGTACCAACCTGTGATCACGCACTCAGGCACCCAGAGCATGTTTCATAATCCGCTCATCCTTTGGATAGATGCACCCTTTGGACTGGACTGGTGTTCAAAGTAAGTATGATGTCAATAGAGTTGAACACAGCTGAAGGCGTATTGAACAAACATCTGGAAGAGCAAGTGGTCGAGTGCAAATACCTGCATTGATGGTGCGAAAGACGGCAACAACCCGCCCAAAGAGCCACCACTGCTCAAGGGTTGACAAGGGTTCAAGCTGCTCAACACAAAATCGTGTCGGCTGTTCTTCCAACCCCAAACCGGTCTCCATTTCACTTGGGGCCCGTAAACAACAAACAGGTTCGGGGTTCACATAAAAACTGGGTCCGCCAAAAGGCCATACTGACCAAAACACGTGATGCAGAACGCCAAGGGAAAACAGGGATCCTTGCAGTATACACCTGAACATTGCCTTGTAAATGGCGGTTCCCCTTTATTTTGGTGTTGAAAAAGCCATGTTTCAAATGGTTGCATTTCGCATTGCCAGGGCGCCCAGTCGAGCGCTGGGGAACCTGGGCGGCGGTTTTATCGGCTTTCTTCGAACTCAGCAGGCCGTCGTACTAGTGGCATCTGATTCTGGACCAATATTAGCCAAAGCCAAGCATTGTGGGATCTTTGACTTCACTCTGGGGTTGGACTTTCATTGATCTGTCTTTCAAGCCCCGCTGATAACGTATCCTGCATGCCGAAGTTTGACCCTACATTCTGCGGCAAATCTTCCACACAAACGTCTGCCGGCTCTAGGGAACACTTTGAAAGCTCCACCCACCAGTGGATTTCGACATTCGCCCCTTCATACACGCTCTTTTAGTACTCTGTAGGTTGCCTCGCCGCCAAGTGCACAAAAACCGACAGATGCTAGATCCGTCAACGGCTATTCCCTCGGAATTGCAAGTAAGTATGACATCCAATATCGAATCAGCTAACCTCATTGAACAAGAACATCAGCAAGCTTGATTTGTTGATTGAACAGACCTCGGCTTGCATACAAAGCCTTCAAGACTGACCCGCACCCACCCGCACACACATCAACCCGTCCCTCAAACAAGAACCTGAACTTCTGACAATTTGATTGCTGCACAATCGGGGACCATCGGCCTCAAACATAAAATATTCTACCCACAAAGGGTGCTTGAAAGGAAGGTAGTGTTTGCTGCAAACAAAACACTGAGCATCCAAGGGGCAAACAAATGATACCAGGGATTAACATCCATTTAGCCGTCAAGTTCCAAGCTCTTGGGGTTCTCCAATGCAACAACCTGTAGCACCAGATCGTGCAGTTTGCACCAAGCGCCATGGATCATAACCCCGGACAATGGACTTGTTCAAAGAGTTCAACTATCCAGCACCGATCTTAACCCTTCCTTGTTCAGTCATGTTGCTCTATACACGACGTTTTGCCAACTCCAGTCAGAGATGTCAATTCCAGTCAAATTGGCGGAGGGCGCGGTCGAGCCAATACTAAACAAACATGCACCGACACTAAACCAATATCTGACCAATACTAAGCCAATAAAACCAGCACAAACCCAAAAACTGACATTGACCTCAGCTTGTTGAATTGCCTTCCCCAGTAATTGCAGTTTTGGCGAACAGAGAGGTAGATGGATAGAAACATGGAAAATTCAAGAGACAAAGAGATATAGAGATAGAGACCGGTTAGAATAGATCAGTTTAGATCAGGTTCGGACAGGGCAAACAGAGTTAGAGTAGAGTAGCATACAGTAGTTTGTAGCTAGCTAAGCAAGCAGCTAGATCAGCAAGCTGTCCCTTTCTGGGTTCATGTGTGAAGCAGTAGCCATCTTGCGACGTTGCTGTATTGTGTTGATGCAATGATGCCTGGCTTGGGTGCAGTCGAGTATTTGCACTTCCCAGACAGATTTTGCGGCCCCCTAATAACAAATATTCGCCTCTGCGCGGGATAATAAAAAATTGAGTGCTGATCCATCTCTCTGACTATCTATGTAGCGTTCTGTCCGTCCCTTCATCTCTCTACCTATCTCTCTCTCTCCCACCTATTCTTGTCTTTAGAGAGAGAGAGAGAGATGTATACATATATATATATATACATGTATTTATATATATATACACCCACCCATCTAGTGTACCTTTTCTACCTGTCTGATCTGACCTACCATGTTTCCATCTCATGGAATCTTGTCTAATCTATCCGTCCGTCCTTCCATCCATCTACCCAACCAAACCTAATCGAAGCGAGTCTTACCTTCCTAAGCCGAACCTACTATACCTGTCCAGCTGTTCTAGTCGAACCCATCTATCTGGCTCTCATCTATCTATCAACTATCCATCTGACCTATCCCTCCATCTATCGCTCTATCCGTCTATCTTCCGTTCTATCTGCGCAATCTTTCTATGTTTATTATATCTAGGTGTCTATGTTTAAACCTGTCTATCTTCATTTCTTGTTTTCGTCTATCTAGCTATCGTTCTGCCTGTCTATCCGTCTGTCTGTCTTTCTTATCTTTCTGTCTATATTTTTACCTTTCTCTCCTACCGTTCCTTGGGATTGTGTGGCAAGAGGGTTTGTCTGAGCGTTTCGAAGCTGTCTGGGGCGGCCTTGGCTCGGCACGACATGCAAATGTGGTGTAGCGGATGCTGCAGCTTTTCTTGGGCAGCCTCCGAAAAAAATGACAACACTGCAGCATCTGCTCCCAAAGTACTGCGCCTGCCACGAAATCGGCGCGCGACCATCCAAAGTACCGCGCTTGTCAGGCTCGTCAGCCCTGCAGGCCAGCACTACAACATCAACACTTTGTGGTCCAAAGTTCTGCGGCTGACGCAATCTGCGCATGACCAGCCAACATACTGCGCCTGCCACGCGTACACTGCCTGACACAAAATAGGACCACAATGCTCCAAAGCGCGGCGCCTGTCTAGACGAAGCGAGAACAGCGCGCAAAGCAGTGCGCCTGTCAGCAAAGCCAACTTTGACATTTACGACTGGTATCAGAAACTAGCTCAAAAACGTGGCACCAGAATGATCTCCACTGATTCTTACAAACCTTCAATTCAGCGCCAAAACAACGTACAGTTTGCGCACAGGCGCAACGAAAACAAGATGTTGAAAGTCATACGAGTCGCACATTCTGAGCCTTATTCAACAGCGCGGAATCTTTTGCTACCTGCGACCGCTGGTGAACACATTCGAACACTTGCGGTCGCCGCGACACAGGTGGCGACCACATGCTCACCCCCAGACCCCTTTCTATAATGGGAAACCTTCTGCTCCGCATTCGGGGGAAACACACACACACACACCAAATCAACCCCGCCTTATTGTAGTGCACCTGCTCGAACTCCTTCTTGTCGTGGTTGAAGACGTGCGGCATGGCTCAAATCCGAGTTCCGCGTTCGGCAAGGCTTGGGCTTTGAGAGGCAACCTTGCGAAGCGTCCGCAGGAATGAGGATCCCGGTTTGACCATCCTGCTTGGCATTCTTCTCGTGACTCAGACAGTTGGGTAAGGCATATCGCCTTCACAAGCTATCAACCATTGACCCTTGGAGGAAGACCATGTCAGACTGCAAGGAAAGTGATCGGATCGAACAATGACCCGTAGACTTTACACATGCCATCTACATCGCGAACTCTTGTTCCAAGAAACACATCCCGTCGAACTCCAAGCGTTGCAGCATAGGATATGTCAGAGTTGCATGCCTCCACACTCCAACACAAAGGCCCTGAATGGCTGCGTGTTTTTGAAGCATCCCTGAACAGGTCGATGAGACAGCGAACACAACTGGTGGTTACATGTCCCTCGTTCACATTATTGATTCACTTCTGACTCTTTGCCTCTCTTGCTACCAGTTTTGACATGCGCGGAATTGGGTGCCTCCTTAGAACCCCCGTTGCGCACGATTAAGTTCATGCCTCGTTCTGAATGTACCATTGTTCCATGGCATGAAGAATTGATATTGCATGTATGATATACTGATATTGCAACCTGTTGAAGGACACATACACCCGCATAGACATCGTCATGTTGAGCTAAGAGAACAGGTCGTTCCTGAGCTCACTGTTCAGTGCATAGTCACAACAAGCCATGGTCGGGATCTTGCAAATAAGCAAACACCCATGTAGAAAGAAGGATTTCCACACGCCATATTCGGCGGTGTATGGCTTCAAAATGCTCCGGAGTAAAGACTTGAGGGGGTGTCACCGGCTTCCTTGACTGAGATGCCGGAGTGGCATGAGAAGCATGCCCTCCGAGCTATGCCGCCAAACAGCGTCAACTTCTTGTGCCCCATGCCTACCAATACTACGACATCTCCCATGTGTAGAGAACTTCCTTTTCTGAGAGTGGACGTTGCCAATTCTCTTCTCACCGTCCAACACCTTGTAAGACTTCCCACTGATAAAACAAACACACACACTTAAACTCCAGATGGAGGGCGCTAATCTTTCGAGTACAACTGATGAGTCTCGAGTACAACTGACGAGGCTCGAGTACAACTGACAAGTCTCAAGTCGGATAAGGTTCGGCTGGCAGGTCACTTGGCTTCACTCTAGTGTCGAAAACGTTACAGGTTCAACATGAAGCACACACAGCGGCAAAAGAAGCGGCCAACTGGACTTTCATCGACATCACTTCACAAAAGCAGGTACACACGGGTGATCAATCCGTGCATCCACCATCAAGCATAGCTTCGTTGGCCAGCGTTTGCTTGATGGCCGCTGGCCCCCTGCTACTAATTGTGGTGACAGGGTATTCTGCCACTCCGCACACACACACACACACTTGACGCCATTTTCCCTATATCAATCGTTTCCCTCGGGATGGTGCAATAGATATCAAAACCAAGCGCCGCATATCTGTCTCTCCAGGCACTGAGTTAAGAGCCACTGGGAGGTATTGGAGGCAATGTGGTGGTAGAACAGCTTGCCCTGTGGCGACCTTCGAGGCATCAAATGCAAGCCTGAAAGGAGGTGGGCAAGTCCCGAGTTGCAAAAAGAACAAGTTCCTAGAAAATTCGAGCTGCAATTTCTTTAGCTCCGAGCGAGGGTCATGTCATCCTAACAAAGCTTAACAATTGCGTTCAATGGGATCTTGGTGCCTCTTTCCACCAACCTGACGGGTTGCTGGAGGTCCCACAGAAAAAACATCTCGACGTACAAACTTGGGCCTGTTGGTTGCTTTCCTCTGGATAGCAGCATTCCCAGCCAATAATCTAGCAATACGACAAGACACGCAATATAACTATATGAGTGTGGGTCAAAATTCAACTACCAGGCGACCGCAGGTTTTAGTCCATGGTTCCATTTGCCAGGGGTCCTAAAATGGACCCACATCCACAACGACAGACCAACTGCTGAAGTCGAAGCCGTTGCGGCGCACACGCCACACACAACGAGCCATGTGCCCCCGGCGTTTGGATTGTCCAGCCGCGCCACTCATCTCCATCTGCCTGAGGCGAACGTTGAGCACGTCCATCCCGCACTCAAACGAAGCCGCCGCAACCGATCAAGCAGGGAAACAATGAGTGAAATGATCCGGCTTCTTTGCTTCCTGAAGCCCCATCCTAGCTACAGCTCTAAACATCTTGTCTGCACGGACTACTGTATGCGGCGAGTGTCAAGCCAAATGCACATCACATACACACCACGCCAGCATGAACCAAGGTGAGACGTAAAATGCGAGGCCCTTGCATTGGATTTTTACCCACCAAGCCAGACATAACATTGCAGAATGACTTGTCAGACTCCATGTGGTTGCCTGCAAACCTGCCAAATGCACCTTAGAAACAAATTTTGCAACATGATCGGTTCTGTCCGAGAGTTGGTGCATTACCTCAAGACTCTCTCTCTCTCTCTCAAGTTGTGAAAACAAAGCTCGATACAAACAACAAAAAAACACACACAAACAGAAACACAAGTACCAATGCAGACAGAGGAACACTCCCCTCTGAGATGCAGCACGCAGAAACCAACATGGTAACGCCTGCCGCTCCCCAATATTAGGGGCCACATATGTTCTGCGCTCCCATGACCATGAGGATCGCTGAGGTAACTTGTTTTACTTGTTTTACGACTCACTACGCTCAGACAAGGCGCTGCTCCCTTCGCCAGCAACGACTGGTCCGCGGGGCTCTGCTGAACACCCAGCTTTGGGGAGCTCTGCGCCTCGGATCGCCCAGCTTGAGACCAAGAAAGACCGCCTTCTCCACTACCCCAGGTGGCCAAAAGTGACCTCCGAGTTTCCGTGAAGCCAACTGGACGTCGTACAAATGCATCCCCTGCCCGTGGAAACACCCTACCTGTGGCACCCGCACCTTGCGGCTAGTCACGAGGGACAAGGTTCAAGAGAGCGACATAGTTGCGGGTGGGCCACGTTCGTACATCTCTTTGCTAGCTTTAATCGCGGCCCCCTCGAAAAAAATGCACCTCAGGTGGTGAAAGACATTTAATGGTGTTGGATGGTATGGATTTTGGCAGGCCCCAAGTCGACTTGAAGAAACATGACCCTGCAAACGGAACATGCAAGACCTGCTAGCGCAAAAAGACAAACCGCATGTTCAATACTTCTAGTAAATGTCGAAACAGCTCACTTGTGCATCTTAAAGGACGACAACAGGCTGGGCAACAATCAATGCCCCGATCTTGACATGCCTCAAGACCCATCCACATGATCGAAGCAATGACAAAACTGCGTCGAGTCTCTCAAATGGCAGGTATCTCAATGACGATCCCTTGCTTGCCGTGGTTAAAACTACACATATCCACGAGCACGTATACGACCTAGCATCGTCCGTACAGAACCCAACTGTCATTTTCCCCGACTCAGGACTTGCAACTCAAAGAGAGAATTCGTATTAACACAAGCAAGGATCCAAACACATGCGTGTTGCCTGACACTGCAGTAGCCTGCCTTGCTCCTCAAGTAGAGCCTCCCCGCAAGCCGCTTTGACTTGTTGAGCTCACATCTGATCACTGCTTCCGGCTCTACGGTCATCAGTTGCTATAGCTAGGCAGCAAGCGACAAGTAAAACCATCCACACAGCTTGGTTGCTGTTGACCCACTGTTCCCAGCAAGTTAAGGTCCAAAGATCCGTTACCAAATAAACATAGAGAACGACAAACCAGCGCCCGGCTGAAACCTGTGTTCCTGGCCGTCCTGTAGCCAGACGGTACGGAGCCTCCGGAAGCTCTTGCTCTCAAATGCATGGTGCTGGCCACTGAAGGTTCCCCAATACTTGCCGGTTCTCAGCCGGGAATGAGGGAATGATCCCTATAAACTATCCCTTGTGGTTCCCTTTTAGGGAATCCCCAGGTCATTCCCTTTCTGCATTTGCAAGGCGAGCCGTCAGGGAGGGGGGTTTAAAATATCAACCGATGGTCGCCTTTTCTCGACGTTTTGTCGGCTTTCCATGGCTTGTGTTTGTGGGGATTTACAGCTGGGGGTTGAAATCGCATTTGACCGGGAAGATGTTTGACCTTCCTAAAGATGAGTCTCCTGTGAGTTCTTTTGGCTTCCTTCTTGGCAGGCGGTGGAAGAGATGCACCCTGTCCCCCCTTTTGGCGCAATAGAGTTTCCTTTGTCACCATGTTCGCGCAACTGGGCAGACCTACATAGTCCCTGGGTGTGTCTTCCTGGGTGAGTACGCTTTTGGGATGTGCTTGTTTTCAGCACTAAATGGAAACTGGCAGTTTTGTTCTTATTCCCCTGTTGAGGCTCACAAGTTACGAGCAAAGATTGCATTTGCTATTACCGCAGAACTGAATTGGCTGAAGGCAAAAACCATACAGAACTGTGTACGACTTAGCCTTGATTTAAATGAGTTGTTTAGACATCTCAGCAACCCTGTGGACTTTCGCCCAGTTCAATCTCATGGCACCAGAAGAAAGTTGACATGACAACTTCCCAAGCTCGCGACAATTGTGCAGCTGAAGTTGGCATTTGTTTGGTGCAACCTTGCTGGTGTGGCTTGGCTTTGAACGAACAAGACTGTGCCCCCGCTCAGGGGGGAATCTTTGTACTCTGCTTCACTGGCACACGAAATGATTGCGCATCGTTGCGCCCAACTTATGGCACGTCCCCCAAAAATCGAAGCCGACTTTGGTCACCTCACCGATACCGTGGCTGTCCGTGAATCATCTGAGGTCGGGCTCACTCAGGCAGCCCGGCCGGATGCCACGCCGAAGTCCATTGAGTTGGCCGGGCCTTGGAATGTGCAAAGTTTGGAGGTTGGAGGGAGACACTTTGGAAGCTTCTGTCGACCAACGTAGAACCCCTGGTCTGCTGCAACTGTTTGTGGATCTCGGACAACCCGGGCAATCTGATGCCATTTAGCATACTAAGAGACATGTGATGGTGCTGGGATTCCGCCGTCGACAGCGCTGAACAATAACACTCCAGTCTTCTAGCGTCCGTCCTTTGCTGCGTAATTTGATGTAGAGCTGCTGTGCACAGCCTATAGATCATTTTTGTCTGGAAACTTGGAAAAATATGGTAGCGAGAGAAGAGCCCAACCCCCACAATACCACCTGATACCACCTGCCTGTTGGATGAACCCGCTCACGCACACTGTGAATGCCATGTGCGTGTGTGCAACCTGAACCCCCACGGGCAGTGCACCGCTTCGCGAAACAATTGCTTCCTCGCCTGTAGTATGCGAGTTAGTTGGATGACTGTGGACACACGCCTAATTGAATGCCAGCACGAGCCATGAACATCCACAAAACTGAATATGGTTTGAGGGTAGCCCCTTTTGGGTTTGGAGGGAAACCCAAGGGAAAACGCAACTTTTGCCCCTCTCCATTTTGGCACATGCCAGTATGGGTCCGTATTTTTTGGGGGACCCAGCAACATTGTGGTTTTTCCTTTGGTTTCCCTCCAAACCCACCAAAAAGGAGGCCTCCAACTCAAAAAAAAACAAGGACACATGAGGCACGGTCAAAATTACTTACTTACGGCCGTTTCGCTACTTAGTTTGAGAGTCCCCTATCATTTTCCAGCGTGTCCATCGTTTTCCAGGGGTACTGTATCGTTTTTGTTGAGAGTCCCCTATCGTTTGCCATGGTTTCGTGCATTTTCACAATATCAACGAAACGTCGAATACTAAACTCAACAGAAGTAGTCTTGGCGGGACTTCACATGTCCTTGAACACGGCAACGAGGATGCCTAGGCACGCGGCTCCAACCTTTCGGGGTCTTGAAGTCCTCAGCTTCAGCGCAAACAACTCGCGTCGTGTGGGCAGCATGCTGCCCGCAAGCGAAAATCGCTGAAACTTGGCCCAAAGCTTCAGGCACGAGACTGGCACATGACATGGGTGACTGCCCATGAAGTCCCCAACAGCCTCCTTTTTCACCCAAGGGAAGGGCCTCTGTTTATGTGGATCTAGCAAGATTCCAGGTCTTAGAGGATACATCCACAAACCACCTGCTTTACAGCAATCCGCTGGCAAAGTGAAGATCTACCTGGCCCACATGCAGAGCTCCCTACATGTCCCCCTTAAGCGTCCCTACACTCGAAATACCAAAACTGCCATGGGCAAGCCATTTGGATTGACTTGGGAGGTCGCACAAAACCGTGGATGGTGCAAAACACTACTACATACATATATGTTAGGTAGATACTTCAATGGCAGTACATCCCCAAGTCAGGAATTGTCAACGTAGACTGAGCTCACAGGGACTCTGTGGGGCTTAGTTTCATCAGCTCGCAAGCCAAGCAAAAAGAAGCTCAGGCTCCCGCCGTCGCCAAGGGGCTTCCCATGGGACCTGGCGGGAAGAAGCGGTCGGGATCGAGTCGCTTTGAAGCAATCGCCCAGGCACAGTGATTTGGCCATGGGTCAAATCCCGTAGCCCCAGTGAACATTCCAATCCCCCCTAAAATTAAAAGGGTGGTGAATTCACCTACCCCAAAATGGTACCATTGGTTGTGACCCACATCCTGATTTGAGGCCAGAGTTCCAACAGGCCAAGTGAGCCCAGTGTTCTCATAGCACTTTCCTCGCCAGCCGCACCACAAAAAAGTTGCGAATCTCGCAGAAGCGATCATCTGTTACAGGCTCTGCAAGAACACATGCCCGCTCTTTGCACAAAACAAAAGTGCAAACCAACAAGCCTCCAACACGCCTCCACAAGTAACATGTCGTGTTGACAAATGGCCTAACATCATATTGCTTCAAATGCACTGAGTTGCAAAGACCTGGGCCAAATATCGGCAAGCCAATCAGCTCTGACCTTTGCGGCATGGTTTCGCATACAATTGCTGGTGTGACACGACGAGCAAGCCAGCAAGAACATGGAACATAAGTAACATAAATGTAATTTGCAAATGGCTATGAAGTTCAAACGGCGAGCAATGGCTCGCTTCCCTCATTGACATGGATCCCCAAAAGCCATCGTTGGTAGAAGATTATCCTTTTTGGGGAACCCCCCCACATTTTTGTGTTCTATGTGAATCTGACGGGAGTCAAGCACAGATCTCTGGATGGTTCTGGACCGCGGGGCGCACCATCTGTGTTCCTCTGCGGACTGCCTGAGAGGCACAAGAAGCAGATTGGACCAAAGGCTTGAATCTCATGGGGGCTGGCAAGGAGGGAGGGGCGCCCAAATAAGCCCAACTGTCAAGGTAAACTGTTCTCTTGTTTGATTGGCACGGAACACGATTCGTCCAGACAAGATCCTTCGAGTAGTGCATTTACAAAACACATCGGCGACATGAGAGCTCAAACCAGCTACATTGGAATGACAAGGGGCAGCCCCAGGTATCTTGTCATATCTCCAGAAATAAACGTCCTGGGATTGCTACTCACTCTCAGCTTCCAAGGGTCCAAGTCGCCTTGTACTACCTGGCACTTGCAGTTGGAAGCCCGAGATTCTCATTAGGGCCTACTCATTTCATCGAACATATCTCACGTTTGCTTGTCACTTCCGCGGTCCAACATGCCAACAGGGCAATGGATCCACGAGGAGTCAAGCTGCCTGATTTTCAAAGCTCTGACTATTCGAAATGCTGAATGCGCCACATCATCATACACACACAAACCAAACACATTTGAGCACGCAACAGCAATACAGTCAACGGGTGCATCCGCCTCTCTTACAGAGTGTGGAGCGGCTGTCTAAATTCGTGTCATAATTCAAAATTGTCCACCTCTCATTTGTGTCCTACAATGCCTCTGGAATCCAGCACTTGATGGTGGTGCGCTGCGTACAGACCATGAACCACCGATTAAACTCCTATCCAGCCGTAACAACCAGAACAGTGAAGAAACAGAGGCATGAACAGAAGGCTATCACAAAGTGGCGACAGCATGGTCAGACATGTCTCTTCGGATGCCTCTCGGCGACAAGGATGGGCTGGGGCCGCTCGCCCCTGGCAAAAATGTTGGCGTGCGAGCATCGCATTGTGTCCTAAAGAGTAACAAGAGTAAGCATCAATACGCCTGACATCCGGGATCCAAATTACAGCGCGGCCGCTGGATTGTTTTTTATCTCCAGGTCCTGCAGGTGACAGCATAGCTTGGGACATTGTGTGCGAATCTGGGTAAAGAAATAACATAATTACAAAAAGCATGCAAGGTACCGTTTGTGAGGCTGCAAATGACAATACACTACACACAATCAGGTTCACCCTTGAACACAAAACGATTTAGCAATGAGGTCAAACAACAGTCATGGCATGGCGAAAGAAAGTCTTCGCGTGTGGTAGCTGGAAAATACTCCGCTTTATACATGCGCATTACATCCATTCAACAAACGAGAGCAAGGAGCCTGCCAGGTTTGGGTCAGTGGGACGCGCACTTCAAGCTCACCGAGCTGACTGCAATGATGCATACATAATAATGACAATAATAATAAATACTAAACTATTTAATAATAATAAAGATTACCAACAAATGATAACGATAAGGATAATAATGAAAATAATAACGATAATAATAATAATACTACTAATACTAATAATAATATATATATATATATATTTAAAAAAAGTGATACTCATAATGATAGTAATAATACAAATAAACACATATATATATATGTGTGTGTGTATCCTCTGCCCATGTTTTTTCCCCCACAACCATGGAACCCCAAAACCCTCTGTCCACTTCCATGATGGTTCAAAAGAGGCGGTGAGTGGCCAAAGAGCTTCGCATCTGACAGCACGTCAGGGCAGGAGCTACTCTCAAGGTGATTCATCCAATGATTTACTCCTTCTTCCTTCTTCCTTCCTGCACCTTTTTTCCTGATATTTTTTCCTTTCTTCCTTCCTGCCTTCCTTTCTTCAAGTCTTCACTCCAATCTGCAAGCATATTTGTCTTCTTTCATTCTTGTGCTGGTGCGTGTGCTCCTTGCTTCATCTTCATTTTGAGCATTGGAGGTGCACGTGCCAACTGCTCATCTCATCCCTTTTGTCGCTTGCTTTTTACGTATCGCAATCTTCCATTATGCTGCTCGTGTTTGGTCATGGCTTGCTTTGCTGTTCACCGGCCTCTGGATCTGTTTATTGTTGCTTTATCACCCCGAAGACACAGCTTTTAGCGCCAGAGCTGTCAAATGTTCACAATGCTCAAAGTCTCGTAAGGCTCGTGGACATGAACGGAACTAATCTTTAAAGGCAAACGGGCGACGCGCAACCATCCAAGGTCCCAGCATCATGTGCAAATAGCACCAAATGAGGTACTAATGGATTCCAAACAATGAAACTTCGATGTTGTGTTCACGAAGCTTTGCAGGGGCTTGATTGCCTTAAGACATTGCCTGGAACCTCAACTGCCTGCAGCTCTCACACATATTATACCCCACGCACAGCAACAGCCTTGGTGTGTCCTCACGAGCCCCAAATTACCTCTGATTTCTCCGTGTGTGTGGTGCATGTGTTGGTTTTGATGATCAGCGAAATGTAAAGCGCAGGCCGGCCAGCCTGGTCTTTGACACACACACACAATATAACATCGCTACCGTCAACTCCGTCACAACCAATGCGAGGGAACGTTGTGGTTGCATTCCCGGAGCTTTCAAGGAATCAACTGCAGAGCACACCCCAGACACACACACACACACACAGGCCCTCCCCCCTCCGGCGCACCGTGTGTGCTAAGCCACAAATGCTACACATCGCCAAAATCTCCCTTTCAGACTGGCCAACTTAAGCTGGCTGTTTGATGGTAGCCCAAGGGCGAACTGGGGTACTCGACTTGACCCCGCAAGAATCCCCTATACAACATGCATGGTCTTAGAGATCCGCTGCGAAAGGCTTCACAGTGCTGCTTGGCGCCGATCGGATCGAATAGGACGCCTGTGCCTAGTTTTTGAGCCTCGCCCGATCTCCGATGCACTGTGGAAAGGGGTTTCGAATATCAACAGTCGTTGAGTGGAAAAGAAACGCCGGTATTTCGCAGCTTCAAAGGTGATTCTCTTCATGCCCCCTAAACCCCAAAACAGCTCTTCCTGGAACAAATCATATATTATGGAAACAGGGGCATGAGGGCATTCCTTGCCCCCTAACCCCCCAAACAGCCAGGCGTGCAGTCACAGCCCAGGCCTCGCGGTGAAAAGGACGCGCTCGGGCCTCGCAGAAACACATCAAGGCAAAGCACCGTCCCTAAGGATTGGCCTTGTGGGGGGCTAACAAAGTAGGGGACTCCTTTTGGAATGCAACGAACACCAAGAAGGAACCGACCTACATGGCGGAGTGAACGCCAATCAGCTGCCAAGCTGGCCAGCCAACTGGAGGTTGCAGCATGTCGCTTTGAAGCAATGGGCCACACGCCACTGCCACTGTGCACATAAGCAGGCCCAAATGCATGACAAAGCCTGGCAGAACTGAGTCTTCAGCGATGTGTGTCACCCAAATTACGACTGCCAATGTGATCGTGCCATGATCATGAATATGCACTGATTACATGCGGACACTGTATTTACACATGCAGTGTACGCGTACGTATCTAATATATATATATATATATATTATTGTTGCGCGTATAATACATTTTGTATAACAGCAGTAAACATAAACGTGATACTTGTGGACGTAATGGTGCATGCTGCCCTCGTTAATCATTGCAGCAATCAGTATGGTGCTTCTTTTGTCCCTTACAGGAGCTTGATTAACCAATCGTGGAGGAACACCACACATGACCATGCGTAAAATGTGGCTTCGTCATGTCGCGGTTCGGGCAAACTTGACAAGCACGCATGAACTCCACAGGCACCAATCGTTTCCTGATGCTGATATTTCCCTAAGTGATGCCATAGTGAATAGTTACATATATAGCAAGCCAAATCAGCATACATAGCAAATCAAATCTTCAACTGCGCACACTCACCCGACCAACTGAGCGTGTGAGCCAATGAAACGATCTCACGACTTCCCCTTGACAACATCACAGCAGGTTTATTTTTCATGGTGTGTCAAAGGAGCTATTCAAGCTATCTCATCATTGAAACAAACAATATGACCAGCAGTACATCAGCAAAGCAAAGCGGATATGGCACAACTTTGCTCTTGAGAACACTGCGTGTCTGAAATTCAGTGGCCGAGGGGGGCGGACTTTGATGCTCGAGTGACAGGCACGAGCCGCCTTCGAGGTGCTCCGAACAGAAGGTCAATGCATGAAAAGCCAAAGACGTGTTCTTGCCGTCTATACTAAGGGATTCTGCTTAAGTCCCCTGAAAAAATATGTCCAAAGTGATAGATTCCCTGTAAAACCAACAGGGGAAAATAAAATCTATTCTTAACCAAATGGAAGGAAAACAGCTATT